TTTGATTTGATATATTATATTAGGCTGGTTATTAAATTAATCTTATGCATATAATATGCATTAAATGGTTATATGTGAATTAATTTATTTTTAAATTTAAAGTTGATACATAGTTGAATTGTATGCATGGATGAGTTGCCATAGGCGTAAGTATTTTGTCTAAGTATTTGTATGAATAAAATACATATACAGAAAGTATGGTTGAATTGTTAATTTAAAAGTATAAATATATATACTTAAATGAGGCATGGTTGAGTTCCCAATGTATAAATAAATATATTTATAATGGCATGGTTGATTTGCCAAATATGTAAATAAATATACCTGTGGAAGCATGGTTAATTTGTCAATGTATAAATAAATATATTTAGGGAGGCATGGTTGAGTTGCCAATATATCAATGAAAATATTTATAATGGCATGGTTAATTTGCCAAAGCGTAATTAAATTGTTATGTGTTAGATGATTAAAATATCATCTATGGTTATTGTATGTATAGATTAGATTAGGATTATATATTCTTAAATTAGAATAATCTAGTACTTACTGGTTAGTGTATTATTTTATATTAATAAAATAATATTGGTGGAGACATGGATGATTTGTCAATGCTGAGATTTTGGATATGTGATTTAGTTAAAATCATCATCGGGTTTTGGGATTAATTATAATATGCCTTTTATTATAATTTATTATATAAATGATTAAACAACTGACTAGGATGGGATTAAGGTCAAAGGGGTTTTTTTTTTAAATGAAATGGTAGATTGGTCTAGGTATGAATATTATTTTAATAATTATTTAATAGGTATGGAAATTTAATAAACCTATTAACAGATGTGATTAATATAGTATATATAATTATATATAGACATGTATATCGTGCTTTATTAAAGTTAAAACTTTATTAGGTTTGGTTTGATTAGAGATGATCTGCTTATTGGTTTTCAGAGGCCTGGTAGAGTGAACTTGCTCGTAGGATTTAACCCACGATTTATTTTTCAGGTTATTAGAGGTTCCAGTCTCGAGGTTGAGGATCCGCAGCTGGGAGACTGTCATTCATCTATTCATCTTGTGTACTTTTAAATAGTATTGGACTATTGGATAATGTTTTAAAAGGTCCTTGAGTTATGGGATTTCCGAGTTGTAATTGTTGGAGAATCATTAAGTAATATTTATTTATTAGTTTTCTTCAGCGGTTTACTTATTCTTTATTATTCATCTTTGTATTATGTGCTTGTTAAATACTAAAATTGTTTTGATATTCCTTGATTTTGTGCGCGAACTTGATCAACCCGTGTTCCGAAATTAGGGGGTATCACACTAAGCCTTTTTATTACTAGAGAAGTCACCATCAAAGTAGTAAAGTCCATCTATTATCTTAGCACTGTCAGAATCACAGAAAATTACACAACAATTAGATTCTTTGGTTAGTTTACTCACAGACAAAAGGTTACAGGCTAGTTTAGGGACATGGAGAGCAAATTTAATAATCTATATTTTTTGATAATTTTATCAAACCTTTTTCCTGCAATAGGTGAGAAACTACCATCTGCAATTCTAATTTTTTCAAGGCCAGAACATGATGAGTAAGTGCTAAAAAGATTGGAAAGGCTGGTTAAATGATCAGAGGCTCTAGAATCAATGATTTATATAGTATAATTTAAACAACAAGAAAAGACATTAAGTGCATTACCTGTTTGTGCAAGAGAAACATTAGGAATACCAGATGATAAATTAAATTTCAGCAACTTCAGAAGGTGATCCATCTACTCCATGCTTAAGGGACTTGTCTTAGCTTCACTGGCAGTAGGAACCGCACACTTATTTCTGTCACCAGGCTTGTTACTCTTCCAATTTGCTGGTTTTCCGTGGATTCCAGCAGTTCTCCCGAGTATGGCGCGGTTTGTTGCAGAAGTCACACCAGACTCGTGGCTTCTCTTCAAGTTTTCGCTGAAAATTGACTGCTTTATTAGCAACAGTCTCTGCAACAATAAGGGCAGAACTCTCAACAGACCCGCTTGTAGTCTTCTTTCCCAACATTACATGTATGCGGCTCTCTTCTCTTCGAACCTCAGCAAACACCTCACCAATTGGAGGAAGTGGAGTCCTGCCAATGATCTATCCCCGTACTTCATCAAATTCCACATTGAGCCCAGCAAGGAATTTGTAAATGCGATGAGCCTCTACGGTTCGTTTGTAGTGATTGACATCTTCAGTGGATTTCCATTCATAATCATTGAACAGATCCATGTCCTACCAAATGCGCTTTAATGAATTGAAATACTTGGTGACCGAGTCTTCTCCTTACCGAATCTCACCAAGTTTTAGAGTCAATTCGTAGATCTGAGACTGATTTTCCAAATCAGAGTACATCTGATTCACGTTGTCCCAGAGCTCCTTAGCCGTGGAGTAACACATATAGTTAGAGCTAATATCCTCGTCCATGGAGTTCACGAGCCAAGTCATCACCATTGAATTTTCTGTATCTGAGGTCACGTACGTTGGGTCCTCGGATACTGGTGCCTTCTTGTTTCCCGTCAGGTACCCGATCTTTCCCCGCTCTTTAATGTATATCTGAACGGACTGGGACCACCGTAAATAATTTTCACCATTAAGGCGAATATTGGTGATCTGAACCGAGTAAGAATCGGTATTGGAGGCTTGAGTTGTGACAGGCGGCGTTGACATGAAGAAAACGTTAGACATGGCTGATCAGTGAAGAAATTGTGCAGAAAAGAAATTAGGGTTTTTTTTCAAATTTCTTAGGGGGGCTCTGATACCATATAAACTTGAAAGGGAAAGAAATATGAGATGAACTGTTTTTGTATTAGCTCATTATTCACAAGTTTAAGGAGAGAATACACGCATAAAATCTACAATAACTAGCTGGCCTAATTAATAATTTCTTAATTTGCTGCGTTGACTAATATTATATTTATAGCAAATATGCTCCAAATATTATATTTATAACTAATAATATTTTGTAGTATTACAACCCAATCTTTCCTTTTCAACATATTAACTAAATAAGTTGACTTTGATGTGATTGATTCGTAACATGCGCTAAGTATGATGTTGCGTGCAGTAGCAAGAGTAGTTTTTAGAAGGTGAAGAGTTACAATTGTAAAACATTATAGATATGTGTACATTGCGGTAAAAATGTATGGAAGAGTAGGGATGTCAATTTTTACCGCCCCGCCCCATCCCACCCCATCAAATTTTGTACCCATCGCGAGTCACAGGGCAGGTAAGGATTCAGTATACATATCCCAGGGGCCCCGCTCCGCCCCACCCTGCTAAGCATATATATATACATAATATTAATAACTTATTTTAGCGGCTTATCCTCTTAGCCATCTCTTACAATCCTAATTTGGGATGTAAACTTGGTATTAAATTTGATTTTGTTTTAGTTATGGTGGAAGTTGGAGCTTAGAACTTCTTGATTTGGTTGTCTTAAACTTTTATTTTTGTTTATTATGTTCTCTGAATTATGTTATGTGCATGTCATTTTTTTATTTTTGTTGAGATACATAATTTCATTTATGTTGTGCCATTCCCAGGCTTTGCACATTTAAATAGAGCTTAAGTTCCAAAAAGTGGGAGAAAAAAATTTGTTAGCAGGGCAAGCACGGGGGCACAGTATTTCCCAACGGGGCGGGGCTGGACATGAAAATCCAACCCGTCGCAGATCTTGGGGTGGGCATAGACTTGACAAAAATTAAAAGGGGCGGGACGAGATTTAGGGAAACCCGCCACAAACCCACCCCGTTGCCATCCCTATGGAAGAGTATAGAGCATAGAGATGATTACCGCGGGTTATAGAGTGAGCTTGAGAGCCTCCTAGGTGAATTAAAAAAATATATATCCAATTTAAGTTTCATCAAAGGCTCTATTAATTGTTTCTACTTAAAGTAATCATATTATCAAATAGTCATTTGATGTACTGGTCCTAGTTAGTTAATTCGCATATGATACACGAATTAAACGCGTACGTACGAATCTTGGGAAAATACTTCCGTTTGCCGATTAGAGTTGAAAGATACAATAAAATACGCATTTTTTTCCATTACCCCGTATCTAACGCGTTTATTCGTTTTAGTCACTCCGTTTAATTCGTAACCTAATTATTTTATTTTCTTTTCGTTCACAAACTTCACGTTTCTAATAACCTATTTTTCTTAAATACAAATTACCATCTTTTCTACCCTTTTTTGCTTCTATAACCATTATCTTTCGCGCTATCAAAATAATATTATTTGTTGTGCAATCTTGGGAAAGGTTGTGACCATTCTCTCACTCAGTTGTTCTACATTCAAGGTATCACTTTCTTTTTTTTCTTTTTCTTTTTTTTTTTAATCTCTTATTGTTGTCACTCCATTATATGATCTTTAATCAAAATAATGAAATATATATATATATATATATATATATATATATATATATATATATACTTGTGGAATACTATAATCTTGAAGAATTATAAGTTTTTATTAATGTTTGTAGATATTTATAAATTTTTTATTTTGTTGTGAGATCTTTTAAATTTTGTTTGTATCTTTATTGTTATTATTTTAGAAGTTTGTAAATCATCACACTCCCTAGATGTTTTAGTAGTGTATCACATTATATACTTCTGAATTTATTATAAATATATAGGCTATTAAGGACAGATGGGAAAAAAGAGGAATGCATTTTGGGATCACGTTGAACAATTACAAGGTCGTTTCATGTGTAAGTATTGAAAGTTAAACTATCCTAGAAGTATTTCAAGAGTCAAATCACACTTATCTGGGGTAAAAGGTAGAGACATTGAAATTTGTTCAAAAGAACCTCAAGAGGTTCAAGCAGCTACATTTTTAGCAATTGGTGGTCCGAACAAAAAAATTAAAACTACAGTTACTCCAATTGATGTTAAGCAAGGTGGGTCTGTTAATTTTTCCTCTTCATCTTCAAAGGGCTTACAACAATCTACCATGCCAGAAACAATTAAGAAAATGGATAAGAGTGAGGTGGATAAAAAACTTGCCAAGCACATTATTTTGAATAATATTTCATTTAATGTGGTTCAGATTCAATCTTTTATTGATTTCGTGAAAAGTGTTGCTGAATTTAGGTCAACATACAAATTACCTAGTTACTCAACTTTACGCACAAAGCTAATACCAAATTCTAGGACAGAAGTAGAGGCATACATTGGGAATGTGAAGAAAACTTGGGTTGCTACAGGTTGCACACTAATGTCAGATATATGGAGTAATATGAAGTAACGTGCCTTTATCAACATAGTTGCATATTCACCTAGTTGGGCAGTATTTATGAATTCATTTGAAATTTCAAAGGATAAAAAAACAGGTATTTATCTAAAAGATATTATGTCATCGGTAATTGAAGATATTGGACCTAATCACGTTGTACAGTTCATTACTGATAATGCATCCAATTTTGAATCAGCTGGTGACATGCTTATTGGTAAGTACCCTCGTATGTATAAAACACGATGTGCTGCTCATGGGATTCAGCTACTATTGAAAGATATTTATTCTGAAATTTTGTGGATACATGATATTATTGATGATGCAAAATTAATTGTGACATATTTGTACAAGCACACTATTATTTTGTCATTAATGAGAGAGCACACAAATCATAAAGAACTCAAACATCCTTGTGTGACTAGATTTGCCTCCAATTTTTTGATGGTACAATCAATTTTAGAAGTTGAAGATGGATTGCGATTACTTGTGGCATCTTCTGAATGGAGGGGGTTGGATTACAACAAAAGAGGGATGGGACTAAAGGTTGCTAGTATTATTCAAAGTGTTGAGTTTTGGAGTAAAGGGAAAGAAGTAATACAAACTCTGGAGCCTTTAGTTAAAGTTCTTCGTTTAGTTGATGGAGATGGTTCAACTGCAGGATATTTGTATGAGGCGATGGAAAGGGCAAAAGAAACTATTAAACAATGTTGTTGTATTAATCAAGCTAATTACATGCAGATATGGGTGTTATTTGAAAAACGGAGAATTGAAAATGTAATCCACCCAATACATGCAGCTGCTGCATTTTTAAATCCTACCTTCATGTGTAGCGAGGACTTCAGAGAAAATCGTGAAATGAAAGACGTTATAGATTTTATGTTAGGAAATTTTATTATTGAAGAAGAAAAGGAAGATTTTATTCGAGAACTTCAATTTTACCGTATGAAGACCAGAACTTTATTCACAAATACAGCAAAAACAATGTTGAAAACATCTAATCCTCATAAGTTTTTATTTTTATTTTTTTAAATATCTTGTTAAAATTATAATAAGCTTTATATATTTAGTTTTATTATTATTATTATTATTATTTTTTATTATGTGTAGGAGTTTGGTGGGATTATTGTGGGGATTGTCTTCCTGTGCTACAAAAGTATGCCATTCGTATATTGAGTCAGCCTTGCAGTTCTTCTTCATGTGAGAGAAATTGGAGTGCTTGGGAAGCTACGCAAATATAGAAAAGGAATAGGTTGGCACTTACAATGTTGGACAATCTTGTATACGTAAGAATGAACACAATGATGATGGAAAAATTCAAGACACTCGAAGCACAAGATTTTGAGCCAATTAATCTTGACAAACTTAGTGACAATCTTGAATATGTTGATCATGAAGAATTGGAGGATTATTCCTTAGAGCCAACAGATAACGTTTCTAGTGATATAGTCACCAATAATGAAGATCTTTCTTGGTTAGATGGTGTTATCTAAATTTAGAACAATTTTTTATTTTTATTTTGGGTAACATAGTTGATTATTTGAATTAGAATTTTTTTCATTAATTTTGTGATGAAATTGATCATGTTATGGACATATGGTTATTGTTTCATTATATTTAGATAGTGTTTTTTTTTTTTTTTTTTTTTTATGATTATTGTGATAGTGTCAATTGTAATATATTTATTTTATTATTTGTTACATATTATTTATTTTCCTTACAAATATATGATATATAAGAAAATAATAAGATGTGTATGGCCGAATTTTTGATTCCGAATTTTTAGTGTATATAACGTATTATACACGTACGTATCCGTATTCGTATTTTTACGTTTTCGTATTTTTTTGCCGAATTTTTTAAACGTATTTTTAAAAAATATCAAATTATACTCGTACGTTTTCGTACCCGTATTTTTTCCGTACCGTATTTTACTAACTATGGTACCGGTTCAGATTCTTCAGATGTATCAAATTGAGGGACTCAAAGCTAATTGTTGATTTGTTTCAAGCTAGAGGGATCCACATTGTCAAATAATGTAATATTAGTATAATATTATAATTATCTCAGAGTATTCAATAATTTATTTAGAAGGGTTCTAAACATTCTGATATGCATATTTCAAAATGAATAATAAAATATTTAAACTCTAACAAATTCAATTTAAGAATAATCGAGTATAAGACTTAATGAGTTTTTTTATTCTAAAATCGTCTTCCATTATAATTGATTCCAGTACGAGTAAATTTAAAAATGTATAATAAAATATTTGAACTCTACAAAATTCAATTTAAGTATAATTGAGTATTATCCAAAACTTAACGAGTTTTTTTTAAGAGTAAATTGACATCCCTCTTCATAAATTTAATTAAAATTTGTACATTGTTGGTAGGGAGAGTAGTAGTACCCTATAAACTCTCGATGACCTGTGACTTCGAGAAGATATCACAGCAACAAACTTTACCCTCCGATTCACGTAACCAGCGGCAAAATAGGCGTTGGGTATATACAACTGCACACACAATATATATGTATATGTACGTATTCAATTGTCACAGACTCACCCTTGATTCTGAAAAGGGTCTCTCTGTGTGGCTCTCATGTTCCGTGTTATCTCCAAACTGGGTTTTATGTGATCGTTACAATCTCCAGGATCACAAACTGGTGTGGGTTTGTGATTATCAAACCATATACATATACACATATACACACACAGTGCAGGAAGAAGGAGGAGGAGATAAAACGTGAACAAGATGGCAGAGAAGAAAACCCGGAAAGCAGTGGATCAAAAAGTTCCGTTCTATAGGCTTTTTGCATTTGCGGATCGGCTTGATATTGCGTTGATGATCGTTGGTGGGGTTTGTGCTGCTGGGGCCGGCTTAGCAATGCCTTTCATGACTCTTATTTTTGGGGAACTTGTTAATTCTTTTGGTAGCTCAGACCCTAAACATGTTGTGCATGTTGTTTCTCAGGTACTCATTAATGATCCTGATTTATTATTATTATTATTATTATTTATTTTGTTGTTATTGTTGTTGTTAAAATGTTGGTTTGAGCTTATGACATTCCAATAATAATTATAAACCTTAGGTTTTTTTTTAACATTTAAAAAAATGGAGAGAAAAATGTGATTGAAACAAAACAACAAACACCCTCAAGTCGTAAGTGAATTTGGCTAAGAAGTGAGTTGTGTGTATATTTTATTTTTCTTGAGAAAATTAAGTGAATTGAATTGGGTTGTTGAGTTTTTCCCTGATTTTGAAGGAAACCATGGCTAAGTCCTGATAATTTAGAACAAAATGATGAAGAACGTGTTGAAGAACATGAATACCATGCATACCAATGGGCACCAGATGACATGATCTCTCTCCTTCAGTTCAAGCCATGTTAAGGGAAATATTGTGGGTTTGTGAGTTTGCGCTTGCTCGAACATAAGAGAAAACAACAAGCATATTTAAATGTGCATGCCTTCTAAAAAAATAAATTTATATTGGAGGGTTATTATCATAAAATTGCCATTGCGAGTTCATGTGACTCAGTTGTGGACTCATAGATTTTTACTTGATGGGACCAGATTAAAATAAATTTAAAATTTTCAGTGTCCAATTGATTATAGAAACAATGACAATATTAATGGAGGACGGTAGAGACTGAAATTGTGGGCATCTGATCATCTCTACTGTTGATGGTGGTATCTCTCTTTTGTTCTTTACTTTGTAAGAAAGATCGCTTTCTTTTAAAATTTTGCTCCACCTTCCAATTTAGTGGGCTACATAAGGAATAAATGTATATTTAAAATTTTTGTATGTTTTTGCTTAATAGAGAGAATTTGGTCTCACGAGTCCTTGCATTATTGAATTTTGGGTAAAGTGCAATAAACCCCCCTTATTATTAGGCAATTGCACAAAATCCCCCTAAATTAAGCATTGTCCCCCTGAACTATTAAAAAGTTGCATTTAAGGACAAAATTAAAAGTCACCGTCACCAGAGTTAACCGGATATAGAAGATTACCATTTTACCCTATGACCAAACGACGCCGTTTTATTGTTTTATCAAAATCTAATCTCAATATCCAATAGGAATCTGCCAACACATCACCATATATATATCACAAACACTACCTAACACTACTTCATGTTAGCAGCCAAACACCTCCTTACGCTCTCTCTCTCTCTACTCTCTCCATCTGTACGCTATCCTTATCCAGCAACAGATGAATCACCGACCAATCACAACCTCCGTCAATTGAACCAGCCAATGACCATCACCGGCGACAACCGCCGCCGACTCCGGATATTTTGATTGGAACCTGATTTGGCAGAGTAAAGATCTGGATTTTGCCGAACGTCCATCAATCGACCTATAACTCTCTCTATCTTGTCTCTTTCCACAATAATCCTAAATCTGGAATTCCACACCTCTGACTCCAATCTTCAACACCTGAGTAATTAACTTCTCCTTATAAAACTCTTCGACGAGCAACGGCCATGTCACAAACAAATTGCCGGCTGCGACACCAATTGGAGAACTTGAATTTGGAGAAGAAAAGAGTGGTGATCCGTGGTCTAGCTTTTTAAAAGGCCTCTGTTCAACTATATATATATATATATATATATATATATATATATATATATATATATATATTACGATAGTGACGGTCGGCTATGAAAAGTGCCCTCTGTTGAGTGGTGGTAAGGGGAGGCGATATTGCGCCGGCGTCGACGAGGCCGGTGGAGACTAGCGAAAGAGAGAAATTTTGGAGGCACGTCAAAGAAAGAAGCAAATAGGCAATTTTGAAAGGTGTATTTGAATTTTGTGAAGGGATCCATGAGATGGGTCTCAGGTCTGTCAAGTCTATGTAACTATATATAGGGACGGACCCAGCAGGGGACTAGGGGGGGCAGATGCCCCCCCTGAATTTTTAATATTTTCATTTTATACCCTAATGTTTTTAAAATTTATGAAAATGCCCCCCCTAAAATTACAATTCGCCCCCTATAACTCTCTCTATCTTGTCTCTTTCCACAATAATCCTAAATCTGGAATTCCACACCTCTGACTCCAATCTTCAACACCTGAGTAATTAACTTCTCCTTATAAAACTCTTCGACGAGCAACGGCCATGTCACAAACAAATTGCCGGCTGCGACACCAATTGGAGAACTTGAATTTGGAGAAGAAAAGAGTGGTGATCCGTGGTCTAGCTTTTTAAAAGGCCTCTGTTCAGACGGTCGGCTATGAAAAGTGCCCTCTGTTGAGTGGTGGTAAGGGGAGGCGATATTGCGCCGGCGTCGACGAGGCCGGTGGAGACTAGCGAAAGAGAGAAATTTTGGAGGCACGTCAAAGAAAGAAGCAAATAGGCAATTTTGAAAGGTGTATTTGAATTTTGTGAAGGGATCCATGAGATGGGTCTCAGGTCTGTCAAGTCTATGTAACTATATACAGGGACGGACCCAGCAGGGGACTAGGGGGGGCAGATGCCCCCCCTGAATTTTTAATATTTTCATTTTATACCCTAATGTTTTTAAAATTTATGAAAATGCCCCCCCTAAAATTACAATTCGCCCCCACTGGATTCTTTTTTTTTAGCATTTTATACTTCAAATTTTGATAATTTATGAAGATGCCCCACTATAATTATAATTTGCCCCACTGATTTTTTTTTTTTCATTTTATACTTAAATTTTTTTTAAATTTATGAAAAAAACCCTACTAAAATTACAAAAATAAACCCATCATATAATTTTGTACTCACAAATTAAAAATTCGCTCCCCCTCACCAAATTTTCTGGGTCCGTCACTGACTATATATATACATATACACACACACACATATATGACTTGTATATTTATTTCCTCTCTGTATCATGGTTTTAAGAGGGACGTTACTGATTGTTTAATGGTTGGAGAGTGTTTACAGAGACTGAGATCTTTATGAGAAAGATGGCGTTAGGGAAGGAAGTTATGGGGAGGTATGGTTTACTGTAGACTGAAAAAAAGGGTTCAATTTGGAAATTTATTAAATAAGGGTAAAATTGCCATTTTCAAATTACAGCATAGGCCACGTGCGCATTTTACGGACAAAACCTGCCGGAACAGTGTTGCCTGGTGTTTATTGCAAAAATTGAAATAGTTTAGAGGGTTTATTGTTAAAATAAAAGTTCAGGGGGATTTTTAGGGAGAGAGAGTAAAGTTTAGGGGGGTTTTTTTGCACTTTACCCTTGAATTTTTTTCGACTGACAAACGGAATGAGCAAAATCAGACATCAAGGACAGAGCACTACTGTGTTCCTGGCTCAGCCATTGAATGTCTCATGATATGATTTAATATGTACACTAGTCTATATACATATTACGTGCTTATGTGTGTGTATAATGAATAACAATGTACTTGATTTTCAGATAGCCATCAGGTTCTTTTACTTGGGTATTGGTGTCGGCATCTCTGCATTCCTACGTAAGTGCAGATTAAATTTTTACTCTCAGCAGCATTTATTTTAGTCTCTTTCGCTCTTGCACAAATGCAAATTTTTTATTTTCTTGGGTGTGGGTGGGATAAAATTTTTTGAATATATTTTGGTTAAAATTTTGGACTTTTTGTGTATTAAAGATTTGGGCATGGGATACATAAAACCAAAAGTGTACTATGCTTAGATTCAAGGTTGGTGCATGATTAAGGCTTTAACATAGGTATCAATGAATATGAATGTACACTTTATGCCAATGAATTTGAGAGCTTGTTTGACTCCATGTCATGTGAAAGCAATGTGTTCTTTGCTAAGCAGCCCATATAAGAAACATGCCACAATCTTGATTTTGAGCTTGTTGCAAGCCTCTTTTTTTTCAAATTTAGATTATACACTCAATAAAGATTAACTTATTGTCATCCACTACAGAGGTGACGTGTTGGACAATAACGGGGGAGAGACAGGCAGCACGCGTACGAGAACTGTACTTGAAAACAATATTAAGACAGGACATTGCATTCTTTGATACTGAAACAACAACAGGTGAGGTCATTGGGAGAATGTCTGGCGATACGATTCTAATTCAAGAAGCCATGGGTGATAAGGTTAGAATCTGTTCTTTGCAACATGCTAGTATGATTGCTACATGAATGTCATGACAAGGTGACAATTAGTTTGTCAATTACAACATAGTTTCATTCGTTTGTCATGCTATTCTATGTCTTCTCTAGTTTTACTTGAAACACACACACAGCATGCAATCTAGATGAAAATTAGTGATAAAATTAGCTATGACAGGTCGGGAGGTTCATACTAAACATGTCAACATTCATTGGCGGCTTTGCAATTGCATTTATACAAGGATGGCGTCTAGCAATAGTCGTGATTGCGTGCATTCCTGCTATGGTTGTTGCTGGAGGAGTTATGACAATGGTCATGATCAGAATGTCAAGCCGTGGACAAATTGCTTATGCAGAAGCTGGAAATGTAGTTGAGCAAACAGTAGGAGCCATTAGAACGGTAAGGCACTACATTGAATACACAAATTTGAATGTTCTAGCTTATAACTTTGTTACTGAAACTCCTCGACTTGCATGATACATACTCTTGGTAAATGTATTAGGTTGCGTCCTTCACCGGGGAGAAGTTAGCCATAAGTAAGTACAATAGCAACCTACAACCTGCCTATGTTGCAGCTGTTCGACAAGGGTTAGCCTCAGGAGGGGGAATGGGTGTTATCTTGGCGATTATGTTCTCCACTTATGGATTGGCCGTTTGGTATGGATCCAAGTTGATCATAGAGAAAGGATACAATGGCGGAAAAGTCATCAATGTCATGATGGCACTCGTGATGGGAGGAATGTAAGTATAATATTGCATTTGTGTAAAGTGTAAGATGATATTTTATTTCCACAAACACTTTACTGATTTATTCTGTTTACTGCTCTACATACTCAAGGCACTTATCAATAGCACTTTAGGACATCTAAATAACATTACCCTCCAAACATATTTATTCATATGTGATCATCTCTTATCAGTTTCTCTCTCATGCATCTTTATATGTTTTGCTCTTGGATCAGGTCATTGGGACAGACAACCCCAAACTTGGGTGCATTTGCAGCAGGGCAAGCTGCAGCGTACAAAATGTTTGAGACAATCAAACGTAAACCAAAAATTGATGTATATGACGCTAGTGGTATTGTATTGGAAGACATCAAGGGTGAAATTGAACTAAGAGATGTGTACTTCAGATATCCAGCAAGACCTGACGTGCAAATATTTTCTGGATTCTCATTACATGTTCCAAGTGAATCAACTGCGGCTTTAGTGGGGCAAAGTGGAAGCGGGAAATCAACGGTGATAAGTCTTTTAGAAAGATTTTATGATCCTGATGCCGGTGGCGTATTTATAGACGGTGTAGATATGAAGAAGTTTAAACTCAAATGGATTAGAGAGAAGATGGGGCTAGTTGGTCAGGAACCTGTCCTGTTTGCAACTTCTATAAGGGAGAATATAGCATATGGGAAGGAAAACGCCACCGATGAAGAGATTAGAACAGCAATTGAGCTTGCTAATGCTGCAAAGTTCATCGATAAGCTGCCCGAGGTAAATCTAGTTTTTTCTTCTTGGGAATTTACGACCTTCTATATTGTGTCATGAAAGAAGATGTTCAATTTTAGCAGTTTATGACAACAATGGCATTTCCATTTTTATTCCTGAATAATGGATAAACAAGATATGTCTTGTTAATATACATAATATATACACAAACACACACCATTCAAGTATTTTTAGCTTCTGAGCAAGTAATCACACTACAGCTCACATATGTTTACAGAGGCTGAACACAATGGTAGGTGAGCATGGAATAGCGCTATCAGGTGGACAAAAGCAAAGAATAGCAATAGCAAGAGCAATTTTGAAGAACCCAAAAATCCTCCTCCTTGATGAAGCAACAAGTGCGCTGGATGCCGAGTCAGAACGTATTGTGCAAGATGCGTTGGTAAAAATCATGTCAAACCGGACAACTGTGGTAGTTGCACATCGTTTGACAACAGTCAGAAATGCAGACATGATAGCAGTGGTGCAAACTGGGAAGCTTGTGGAGCAAGGTAACACCATATCACTTATTTCATATTTGAAAAGTTGATCATCATTGGCCACTTTGTTCACTAAGTATACGTTTTTTTTTCTTGAAATTGAATGTTAGGTACTCATGCTGAGTTGATCAAAGATCCAGATGGGGCTTACTCCCAGCTAGTTCGCTTGCAAGAAGGGACTAATCAAGCTGAAGAAGCACAAGGGATCGATCCAGATGATGTTAATACAAGTCTGGATTCTGTAGATGTAACAATGGGTAAGTCTGGAAGCGCGAGATCGATGGGGAGATCCGTAAGCAGAGGCTCATCAGGTAGCCAGCGGTACTCTGTCAGACAAAGTTTTGGTACTCTCGGTCCCACTGGAGATGAGGAGGAGAATACTGAGAAAAAAGATACCGTTAAGCAGAAGCGTCGCAAATTTTCCCTTAGATGGCTAGCCTGCCTAAATAAACCTGAGGTCCCAGTTTTGCTACTTGGAACTATTGCTGCAGCCATACATGGTGTAACCTTCCCTGTATATGGACTCCTAATATCATCAGCCATTAAGACATTTTTTGAACCTCCAAACGAATTAAAGAAAGATTCAAGGTTCTGGGCACTCATGTTCATCGGTCTGGGAGTCCTTAATCTGGTAGTCTTGCCACTGCAGAGCTATATGTTTGCCATTGCAGGGGGTAAATTGATCCAACGAATTCGTTCCCTCACATTCGAGAAGGTTGTGTATCAAGAAATTAGTTGGTTTGATGACCCCGCAAATTCAAGGTGCGTTAACCAATTAGTAATGCTCAAATGCTCCTCCCATTTTTGAACACTTTGTGACACCCACCCATACATACTTTTTATGTTACATTCAGTGGTGCTGTTGGTGCGAGGCTATCTACTGATGCTACAACGGTGCGGAGTATTGTTGGTGATTCCCTGGCCACCATTGTCCAGAACGCAGCAACAATAATAGCTGGAGTTACCATTGCATTCACAGCTAACTGGATATTGGCATTCATCATTCTAGCTGTGTTGCCGTTGGTGGGCGTGCAAGGGTACTTTCAGATGAAATTCTATAAAGGGTTCAGCGCAGATGCCAAGGTTAGTCTAAACCGCCAAATATTGGAATCAAAGCCTTGTACGGCAAACACTATGGCATCTAAATGGGAAGAATGGAATGAAGGGATCTAAGTTTTTATTGCTTCTTGTCATCTGTTTAACACCCTAGCTGCTGCTGGATCAACTAATAAGAATGTTGTAAATGTTTGTAGGTGATGTATGAAGAAGCCAGTCAAGTTGCAAATGATGCCGTTGGCGGCATCAGAACAGTTGCATCGTTTTGTGCTGAGGAGAAGGTGATGGATATGTTCCAAAAGAAATGTCAAGCCCCCATGAAAAAAGGAATTAGGCTGGGAGTTGTCGGTGGATGTGGTTTCGGCTTTGGTCAATTTGCACTGATGTGCACAAATGCATTCAGTTTCTACATTGGATCTATACTTGTGCAACATAATAAAGCAACTTTTGCCGAAGTTTTCAGGGTCTAAAGACTGCTTGCTTTCTTCTAATTTTCTGTTTACTGAAACTTCCTTTGTTTCTAATTTTAACACCCCCTCCCCCCCTATGCCTACAGGTTTTCTTTGCTTTGACAATGACTGCACTTGGGATTTCCCAGGGTACCGCTTTGACTCCAGACTTAAACAAAGCTAGGGAATCCGCTGCCTCCATTTTTGAAATTCTCGACAGGAAGTCCAAGATTGACTCGAGCAGTGACGAGGGCACAACGCTAGCAACTGTAAACGGTAACTTATTGTTGCAGAATGTCTCCTTTAGTTATCCAACACGCCCCGATATCCAAGTTTTCAGAGATTTGTGCTTAACCATGCCCCCTGGAAAGGTACTCACCAGCTATTCTTCTTTTAGTTTTTCTCATATTGACCTTCTTCATCCATTATCATATATATATGACCATTCAGAAATGGACCTTTGAATGGTCAAGTTGAGATATACAGAATCTATTTCATACTACAAAATGCAGCTCTCTCTCTCTCTCTCTCTCTTTGATGGCTTAAATTTTGTTTGTAGACTGTTGCTCTTGTTGGAGAGAGTGGCAGTGGGAAGTCTACAGTAATCAGTCTAATAGAGAGGTTTTATGATCCCGACTCCGGCCATATTTATCTCGATGGAGTTGAAATTCGCAAGTTCAAGCTAAGCTGGCTACGACAGCAAATGGGGCTGGTAGGCCAAGAACCCGTACTCTTCAATGAAACACTCCGCACAAACATAGCTTATGGCAAGCAAGGAGGCGCCACTGAAGAAGAGATCATTGCGGCCACAAAAGCGGCAAATGCATACAACTTCATATCAGCATTGCCACAGGGTTTTGACACGTCGGTTGGGGAAAGAGGAGTGCAGTTGTCCGGTGGGCAGAAGCAGCGAATTGCCATTTCAAGGGCAATCCTTAAAGACCCAAGGATCCTTTTACTTGACGAGGCAACAAGTGCATTAGATGCAGAGTCAGAGCGCGTGGTGCAGGACGCGTTAGATAGAGTAATGGTGCACAGGACAACCGTCGTCGTTGCTCACCGGCTCACCACCATTAAAGGGGCTGACATAATCGCAGTTGTGAAGAACGGTGTGATTGCAGAGAAGGGAACACATGATGTGCTTATGAATATAAACGATGGCGCTTATGCTTCTCTTGTAGCCCTTCACATGACCTCTTGAAAGTAGCAGAAAGAAGAGTTCAAAACAGCTGCATTCTGTTGTTGAATGCGCAGAAATCTGCCACAATGCATTATTAGTTTTGCTACGATAGTCCATGTATCGTGCAGATTTTATTTTTCTTTTTGGTAGGTAACACCATTTTTTTTATTTTTTATTTTTTTTGAGTAATGACACAAAAATTGATTTTTTTTTGGGTTTGACCCTGATGCATAGAGTCCAAGGAGTCTTTTTGTCAGTAGGGATACGAATAGACTCTCATTAAAGATTTAACATTTACAGTTTTGGAGCTGCCAAAGAGCATGAAATAACCAAGAAATTGAAGCTACTTATAATTTTACCTCTCTTTATTTTAACCACATAAAACAAGAGGGAGGAGAAAATTAGCTTCACATAATGACTAAATTTAAACCCCAAAAAATCTATTAGAAAAAACACCCACTTCACCACCTCTCCTCTCCCCCATTAATACTCGTTCTCTTCTACAAGGAAAATCAAACTATATATATATAGAGAGAGAGAGTCTCTGTATGTACTGTGTGATAAATCTCTCCTCTAGTATTAGGACTCAATAATAAATCATCTAATAATTACCTTCCTTCGCAAAGCATCATAATACAAATATTGATCCAGATTTTATATATCATTTACCAAAATAATAATAATAATAACAACAACAACAACAATAAGAAAAAATAAAGAAATCAACAATTGTGGTGGTATATTTCAGAAGGAATTTGAAAGAGTACATGCGCATAATGAACTATATAAACTTTTTTGCATCAACCAGAGTCTCCTACATAAATCAGAACACAAGAATTACTAAACAATTTATGAAATATGAATATATTATATACTAGAGCCACGGTCAGGATCAATTTAAGGAGATCAAGTACAGTACCTAAACACTAGGGCACAAATTTAGTAAATATCAGCAGACCCATTACTGTTGGGAATCCTGTGGCGCTTCTCTACATATGCTGATGGAAACCACCCAGCTCTCCCTTTACATTCTCCTTCTGACCATCCCGATGAGCTCACCTGAGCAAATCCATGGTGTTCGCAGAATACCCAATAAACAAACCATCAATCTTTAATATTGCAAAAGATAGCTTGATTAATTATCTACCAAGCGCGCGCACACACACAGGAATTATATTGCTCTTGTACTAAGGGTCAGTGACTTGATACAGGAAATTCCAAGTAAATTTGAAAAGAAACAAAATAAGAAATTGTCTTGAAACAAATTGGAGGCATTGGATAACAATACGAAAAAAATTCCGTTACAAAAGGGGGGAGGGGGGGTGGGGGGTAAAGAAGGAAAACTTGTTTCTTGTAAGTTCCAACTAAACATTTGACTTAAATCATTTATGGAAGCTTTTGAATGTTTTTTGAGTCATAAGAGTCCTATGTGTAATTTAAGAGAGCTCCCCAACAATTTGAGTGGAAACGGGATACAGTTCTGAAAAAAGGCTATAACTATTAGACATCATATGGAAATATATGGTTGTGCTGCAAGCTAATCATTTTCTTTAAAAGTTTTCACCTAGAAAAATCATTTCACATCAACACAGTGATAGGAAAGTTAGATTCCTTCATTGTTTCCAACAAAGGACCAACGTGACTTGGCAGCGTAAATGCAAGAAAGGAAAAAAAAAAAAATTCTTGAAGAAGATGAGGAAAACCTTCCGGACAACAACATAGTCGCCCACTGCCAAGCTCAGTTCCTTCTCAGATGATGCATCAAAAGCATGCACTGCCTGCAGGATGAAAAATATAAAACTTTAATCAATCATGCTCAAATGAGTATTTACCTTGTGGTTTGCTGGGTAGCCAAGGATTAATTTCAGTGGCATCCTTTCGGGGAAACCAACAAGAGGATGACAATATAACGTAGTCAAATAATATCGATAGGATTCTACCCTTTCAACCATCAAACGACCTTTTTACTTTTTTCTTAAACGTGCTTTTGCTTTTCCCTTGAGGATTTACTTCCATAGTAGAATTGCTCGTCACTATGACACCAAAATATGTTCTGAAGATTTATCTAGAAAGCTGCTCTAACAGTTTTATGCAAAAGCTAATAAAATATACTTTCTTAAATCTAGGGATGAACACATATTTTCATGGTCCAAATTTTGTGAAGTTTAGAAGATACCTCAGCCAAGAAGTACTTTGTTTTCTCTGAGAAGTGGTTAGAGGGAATTACAGGAGGAGCAGACTCTTTCCTTTGTTTCTCCGAGACCATCTATCACCAAATTCAGATCATCACATAAACATAGATTGCTTTAGTATATAATTATTTCTTTGCTGGAAAGAAAGAAAACAGACACTCACCTCAGCTTCAACCTCACCAAGAATAGCAGCTACTCTCTCATGATATGTCTTTTCTCCATCAACCTTCAAAAGCACAAACTTAAATTAACATAAAATCCCACTGATAATCTGCGCCAAAAGAGAATATCAACTCCATAGGATAATGTGCATATATACCATTGCGACAAGCCTCTGGAATGTCAGCCTCTGCTGCTGTGATTCTACAGCAGCCAATGCAGCAGCTGCTTCTTTACCCAGAACTGCCATGTTGGCTTTAATTTCCTGCATTTTAGCTTCTGCGGCATGTAGCTTTGACACATTTTCAGGACTAGGAAGTTCCCTAACACGTGCTTGTCTTCTGGAAACCTCTGCTGCCTGTTTACTTTATATGGTCAATTAGAATTGTAAGATTATAAGACCAATGATCTAGGATTAAATATTAAGTGAATATAAACTGTAGGTTCATGCAGCTGCTTTACTTTGCATTGTCTTTTCTCATTTATAGGAATCCCGACTGTCTGATTACCTGTGTCTCTGCTTCTTGTCTCATTCGACTATAACGTTGAGCCAGGTGACGAGCATCCTCCAAAGGAGCACCAATTATCATTGCTCTCAAGGGTTCTAAGATCTGGAAAATAAGAACTGTTGAGGTCATGCTCTTATTTATATAGTTACAATGATTAGACAAATTTTCAATCTGACTAAAATAAATTGGGATAAACAAATCAATTATTGGGTGGTCATTTTGGGTAGTGTTTCATTTGCTTCCACAAAAACCAATAGTTTAATGACAGAGGAAAGATGGGGAAAAAAAAGGGACGATAGAAGAGGGAGGGAGGGAGGGAGGGAAGGGGAATATAGTCATTTAAAGAGAGGACAAGAAAACAATTAACTCCATTCTAATAGTGTTTTCCTGGAACACTCAGACAGTATTTAAAGTATCGTTTGGATCCGACACTGCAAGGCATATGTAATACGCATTGGCTTCAGCTGGAAAATGAGAGCAATAAATTATCCAATTTAATAGTGATCGATTTTATCAAGAACCCAAACAACCTTAATTAGGGGTTAGAATGGAGTGGATCTAGAGCAGAATCATATGAATCCAAGTTCGAATCTCCCTTTCTTTTTTAGGATCCATAGCCGGATCCGAATTTGAATCAAACTGCATGGACATGATCTATATCCAACCCATATAGATATAGTACAAATAGGATCCTAATATAGTTAAATATGCTTTATTAGGGTCAGATCGGGGGTAAATCCGATCCAAATCCTTATGACCCATATTCATATCCGGTCAGAATCAGTGATGGACCTTTCCCGAAATATCCATATCGGACTCATTTTGGAATTCGAATTCAAAGTTAAAATTCAAATCTGCTAAAATGGACTTCAAATTGAATTGGATCCCATGTCAAATCCGCTATATTTTAAACCCTAGCCTTAATATTCATCCTCAACTCTATACATTAATGGCAAATTTTGACATGACACCAACACAACTCATATCCAAAAAGAAATTACTAAATTTGGATTGACATTAAAGTCATAATTGTGCCAACCCGATTAAGCCATTAAATTAATTGTGTCGTGTTCAGGTTCGCAGACTCAACTCATTTAACCCATTTAACTAATTGTTAACTCAAATCGACTCCTCACATGTTTCAACGTTTATAATAGATATGACATTCAAATTCGTATGGTACTATAGTGAAACCTTTGGTTAATTGTGCATCTTTTTTTCATTGGCAAAAAACACACCCACACACCCACTTTTTGCCCCTATGGGGACTTGAATCCTCGACCTTCTACTTTGGAAGGTGGGGAAGTACCGCTAGACTACAAGGCCCTTGGTAATTGTGTATTTTATAGATAAAATGAAATTAATATTTTAAAACATCTAACTCTTAGAGGAGATAAGGTGTATAATAGAATAGAATGGAGAAAGAGAATCCATGTGGCCGGCCCCATTCATTTGGAAAAAGGTGATGTTGAAATGAAATTAAGAAGTCATTCCATAATTTTTTATTTAATTATTATTTTTTGTATATATTTGAATTTTAATTTTTTTTAAAGAAAAAAATAGTAAATAAATTGTTAAATCAGTCATGTCTTGTTACAACTTATAGGTCATATGACCCATTTATTAAATAAGTTAAACAGGTCATGTTATCGTTATGTTACCTTTTTAATAAACGGGTCATGCTTGTGTCATGGCTCACTGAACCATTTACTAAACGCTCATGTTATGGTCAACCCATATAATAGAATACTTTTTTTGACACGACAAGAATACGCCCGTTAACACAAATCTCCACCACTTCAGTACACACATACTTCTAATGATATTTTTTCATTGCCACTTAAAGCAACCCATATCTGGGGGCTAACAGATTTACAATCCAATTCAGGCCACGAATCATAGATCAGGAATTAGTTTCAACTCTCAAAAGCTTTTTACAGTGGACTTCAAAGCATATATAAGTAGTATATCTATATAGGGACCAAAGTCACACACAAACTATTGTTTTCAGTAATTTTTAATTTTTCAACATTACAGGGAGCTCATAGTTCATGGAGAATAAATAAAATTCAAATTTGAAGATGCTGGGTTCAAGTCAATTGATTGTACAACGTATCTCATCTTAGCATAGTGCTTCCTTTTTCTATAATTTTATATTATTCTCTTAATTTGATGGATGAATAAAAAATAGATGAAGACAAAGCTCAATGAACTTGGAAATATCATGTTTCTGTAATTTCTTCTTATTATCATAGATTTTAACTTTTAATTTTCTATAATTTTATATTACTTCTCTTTATTTGTAAAATGTTCCTTGCGTTACTTCTATTTTTAAAATGCTACTCACATAATTTGATGGATGAATAAAAAATAGATAAAGACAAAGCTCAATGGACTCGGAAATATCGTGTTTGTGTAATTTCTTCTAATTTTCATAGATTTTAACTTTTAATTTTTGTTTCTTTAATGAAAATATATTTCTCAGATTAAATAGATAGTAAAAAGTGAAGTAAAAATTAACAATTATGGTAAGGTTTTTTTTTTTTTTCAATAAGTAAAAACTGAAGTAAAAAATTAAAAGCCAGTAAAAAAACATTATTTACAAATTAATCTCTTTTTTTTTAGTAAGGTCTAAAAATACTAATAAAGTTTTCAACAATATTGACATGAATAAAAAATACAGGTAAAGTTGATAAGCCAATCATATGAATAGATGCTTCTCTATTTGGAAACCGAAACCAAAACTGTAATCTTATCTAAAAATGTGAGCTCAAAAATAACTTATAATCTTTCTTTTCATTTTAAACGTATAATGTCTTAAGAAGCATGAATACAGACACAGGATGTGGAAATTACATGAACAAACATCGCATATCTTAAAAAGGTAGGACAACATGACAAGGAAAAGATACGTTTTTCATATAAAAATGTATTATATACTACAAATAAATATTGATGATTGTAACATGAAATTTATAGATTACAAATAATATAATCACAATCATCCCTGTCGCACATAGGAAGATTTGATAAATACATGATATATATTTGTATGCATGTCTTTATATATGCATGTAGATGTGCATATGTATATATATGCACACAATTTGACGGCTCCTCTCCTACTCGCATACTCACTCCTTCAACAAAACCTTTCTATTTCTTTACCTTTTCAATATGGTCATACATTATATAGATTTTATATAAACCTTGAATTTGAAATTTCTATCAATTCTTACCGTTTTCCATGCTAACATTAAGTATTAACCAATAAATGTCCAGGGTTTACTGGTCACGTGTTAACTACATGTACAGGAAAGTGTCAGTCGTGTCCAAAATGAGGAATTCTATTTTAAAGTTATGGACAGATTAAATATGTGTTCAACATGTGCATGGGAGTATAAAAAAGTGTCCGACACGAACGTGGTTCCTTCTAACAAATATTAGATAAGAGATCAACCTCACATATATGATTCAACCCCACATAACCTAGAAGTATCCCTCTAACATCTTATTCCACGACTAAAAAGATGGAAATCGGAACTCTAGTTGGACAATCAGAAGAAGAACCAGTGATCTAATTACTTAATATTTAACTAATTAGCATCCCAAAGGAAGTCAAAGTGAAAACATTGTATGTATTCTCTTATCATCCAGAATTACTGATAAATTATATATACTTATATGATAAAAATAGAAAACAAACAAATAACTATAAATAAAGTAATAGCAATTCGGTTAATTATATATAAAGACAAAACCAACCTGTGAAAATAATAGCCGATTCAAGTCTTCTTGCTCTTTTTCAACATGTTTGCGGGCATCACCGTATATAGATGCAGCCTTAGCTAGAATGTTGTCGTGGTCATTCTCAACTCCATATTTGCAACAATCCTCGGACAACTTGTTTCCTAACAACCATGATGCTCAGAAAGAATTGATTCAAATACATAAACAGACCATTATGAAACAACAATCTTTAATCCACAAAGAAGATTTATACAGAGCTAATCTCTTGGTTCACCAAATTAAATAAATATACGTCCCAATATGCTTATATGCTTATACCTGCTTCAATATGCCTATACCCTATAGCTGAAAATGTTTCCGCTGCTTTAACAACTTCTTTCTGAAATTCCTGCAGAAATGTTTATGTAACACATCCAGAAAATCAATCTAACAAATATCACAAGTTCACACTAGAATGGAAATAAAGCCAAGCAAAACATTCTAGGAACGCAAGATAAGGGACCTGTATCCAGAGAAGGAGAACTTTCCCCTTCTTAAAATTAGAATATATATATATATATATATATTCCAAGAATTATTAAAATCAGGGTTCAATTAAATATTTCAATTTTTAAACCGTACTCACTATGACTCACATAATAGGTCATTTTGGATGGGATATTCAAACAACCGTATTCTATATCTGAAATGATGCACAATTTAATTCTTGTTACGTGTCACTATCCATGCAAAAGAAGTCATTTTGGAGGGGATATGAGAATGCCGCACTATCCTCTACATTCTCATGGTGGTGGGATCAATACAGGATAAGGGCTAGTCCAGTGCACAAGGCTCCCGCCAATGCAGTCTGGGGAGGGTCAGATATGCGCAGTCCTACCTCCACATGCGGAGAGGAGACCTCCAGGTCAAAGTGGAGCAACCTTACCGTTGCTCCAAGGCCCAGATGGGATCAATGCAGGATGCTAACAAAAAATTTCACTATGATCCATTCATTAAATTCTCATGCCCCAAAAATTCCAGCTAAGTTGAACCTAAGATAAAATCTCTGCCATCAGCACCAACTGCAAAGTCATGAAATGATGCACACTCAATGATCTATACCAAGTCTAACAAAAAAATCCTTCCATCTTTGCATCCTTATATACAAAATTATTATATAAGGCTAGAAATAATCCCTAGTATGAGGCTAAGAGCCCAACCACACCAAATATCATTCAAAGTGACAATATATTTCCATTTCCTTCACATAAGTAACCCACCCTTTTCAAAATTGTCCATATCCCTCATTCTTTACCAAAACGGAACTTGTAGAAACCTCTCACACTTATGGACCAAAGCCCATCAATGCTTCCACAGGCTAAATGAGAAGGAGAAGGCTCCGTTCCTATAAGGAATCAAACTCCAAATTCGTAAGGTTCACTAGATCACTTGATTTAACTCTTTGCATTTCAGCAAAATATAAATATAATAGCTAAATCCCCCTTCTTTATGTTTGCCAACTAGGTAACAATAGCAACACAACCCTAGGAAAGATTCCTCAGAGTTAAACATTGAAGCATATAGAACTATTGCTTTAAGGATTTCACCAAATGTCTTTAATACATTTAAGGCGTATATATACATTTCCCACCATGACTCCCACTAAAAATGATGTACAATGAAATTTCATTCAGTTAGCAACCAAGAAATAATATAAGTTATGGCACCACATACAAATAAGTAAACAATATCAGTTTGCATTGGCGACCTAAAGAAGTCTTAATGATAAACAAGTCATACTTCTTTACCTTTCCTGCACGAGTAGACCTGTACAGTTTCTCTAGTTGCTGGTGTCTATGCATCTCAACTTCATCGATAACAATCACATCTGAACTTTCATAACCAGTTCCACTAAACTGCTTTATTACAGCCTGAAATTCCAATATTCTCATAAATAATCAATAAACAATAATTATTTAAAATGAAAAAATGAAAATTGTCTACTAAGATTTAAGACAAGCACAGTTTGGGTCTCTAACTTTATTTCTTATGATATATATATATATATATATATATATATATATATTTTTAGAAAACCTTAGGACTGCTTAAACGTTAGTTGGTAATTGGTTCTACAACGGTCCTTTCTCTCTCCTGTTTATTGGAATCTTGTTATGACAGTCCCATGAAACTATAGTAAATGTAGAGTAACAAACAATTAAGTTTCAGTTCTGTCTGATAAATTTTTCCAAGTCTGATGTCAACTAAAATTTCATTAGTTCATAGATTTTTCAACAACATATATATATATTTCAATCTTGCACATAAGATAAACACCCACTCTCCGTGACATTATTTAATGAGGAATGCTATCAGGAGGTTTATCAAGAGCCCTAAGCTCGAGAAATTTTTACATGATCCTGGCCAATCACAACTCGACAGCACTTTTCAACGGTAGAATTGAAACACTTTTCAGTAACATCCTTTTGGCTTTTACTTAACCTTCACAAATGTCGACATTCTTCTCCATCAGTGGTCAAACTAAAGGGATTTGATAACTGCTCAAGAAAGCAATCTCTTGATAGCATTACTCTTATTTTACATGAACCAAAACATGTAGGGTTTATATCATCACAGCTATCAACAAAAAGGACATAAAATGTTGAAACATAAGATATAATCTAATGTACTCTGTCACCAACATCAAGATTACATAGCACAATTCTCACTATCAAAAGGGCAGTTACCCCATAAATCTAGAACTTTAATTTCATTATTTCAAGTTATAATCCTCATAGTAATATTTCAATAATAAAGCATAACTCAACCTGCACAGTGAATTTCCAATATAACCAGATTCATCCGAAATTGATTAGGGCAGATAAAAACTAAGTTATCTGATTAATTTGTCGCCAGAAAATAAATTAGACAAAGATAAAATATTGAATCTTGTGTCGTGTTTAATTTCCAACAACCACACCGAACCTCAGCTAGTGGATTACCAATAGGTTACACAACTTCAATTTCTTTCCGTTTCATATATTTTCTCAGCAAACAAACGGGAAAAAAGCAATAGAAATGGTACCTGTTGTTGTTTGGCGACTTGGTCTCTGAGCTTACTCGCTTGCTTCCTCAAAGCGTCCATTGTGAGTGCTCCCTAGTGGTTTTGCAGCTAAAAACAACTGATTTTTAGGTCACCGGATAATGTTTCGAGCTTCGATTCAACGAAGATGTTGTCAGATAATCAGATCTGACGAGTATGAAATTGTAGATTGCTGTGACTCTTCGTGTACAATACAATCTGTTGTTGTTCTTCACTCTGTTTAATCATACAATAGAATATTGGCATTGATTTAGGGATTGTGTGGGGCTAAGGAGTACGTCTTCCTTGACTTTTGAGCGCGGTGAAAAATCATTTATATTCAACGTCCATGATTGACGGGCCCACTGAATCACAATTTTTTAATTGCAGTCATTGTGAACTCACATTTATAAGGATTTTCTTTTTTTTTTTTTTCTACTTTTATGGCGATGGGTCACTAATAATTTGTCATCCGACAGTTTTTCCTTTCTACAAAAACAGAAAAACTGAGGAATTTTTAAAAAAAATTAATTTAGTTTTTATTAAAACAATGATCCATTTTTCAAATTCGAAAATGACGAAGTGAGGGGAATTAATTCTTGAACAGTTTGAGTGGAAATGCTCATAATTCGATGGACATTGTGATTATATATAAAAAATAATTACTGGTACAATTTAGTAAAAAAAATTTGCGAAATCAAACCTACAAAGTGTGATTTTATCTAAATCATTATAAAGGAATGAAGTTTGATTACTAATTATTTAAAAAAATATTATTATTATTCTAGAAAAAGGGTAGACAAGGGATTTTATTACATTTAATGATTGAAATTGGATAATGTACAGTTTCGATTATTAATAGCAACAATATTGCTGCTTCATCCATATCATTAGGTCAGAAGAGTTTGACAAATTTGACACCCAAAATTATTTAAGATAGAACTTGGATTTTTTTCTTTCTCTATTGGGTAATAATTTACACTGTTTATACTATAATTTTACATCATTTATATATATATATATATATATATATATATATATATATTATGGCAACCGCAACCACCCAAAATAAAATCAAGAATCACAACAAAAAATAAACACACTACACAAAAAAAAATAAACACACTACACAAAAAACATAAAGAATTATTCGTGGTTCAACAATCTACATCCACGGTTAAGATCTAGTGAAAGTCTTCACTATTGTAAAATTGGAGGTTACAAATTTTCAACCTCTCACTTTGTTTCTGTCAGAATTTTGGAGTGTCTCTTTTACACCACTCTAAATCCTAAGCGCCCTTATATATCGGGTTACAAGAGACTAATTTTGGTCCATGAGCAAAAAACAGATCAAAAATTTTTCCCTTTGTTGAGTCGCGTTACCAAATTTGAATCACAACATCATAATATATATATTGCACTGTGATGTAATGTTTTACACTAATAATACATTCGCCACCTAAGTCACATAATTTTTTAAAATTGATGCAACGTGTAAGTCATAGGACTTTCTAAACTGGTGCCGCTCTTATGCTTTGCTGTGCTTTCACTCTGCCCATGTTCTCACTCAATTCGTCCTTTAGGTGACTTAGATTTTTTTACTTGTTTTCACTCTCGATTAATGAAACTTTGCTCAAAACTGAAGGCACCATCCGGGTTCATTCAAGATAGTTCTCACAATTCAAAAGTAGACCTGTCAATGGAGCGGATCCTGATCCGAATCCGATCCGATTAGTCGGATATGAATTGAACAAAAAATCCGATAACCCAATTACTATCTGAATCCGATAATCCGTTAACTTAACAAATCGAATATGGATGATATTGATCCGATTCGATCCGATTAAAATTTTATATATATATAATTATTTATCAATAATTTTACATATTTATATCAATAATCCTATTAGAATTGTATTAGAGGTAATCAAAAAAAAAAAAAATCATAATGTTATATATACAATAGTGTGGTGTTCTCATCCACATGCTAATAAATCTCTTAATATACATACTAATAGTGTGGTGTTCTCATCAATGTTATATATATTAGTTATATATTACTAAATTTATATATATTGATTATTTATCATTATATTCATTTAGTTGCATAGTTATATTATGTAGTATTCTATATATTAACAATTTTCCACTTCATCTAACTTTATAATTATATATGTTAGTAAATATGATTTTAATCCGAGTTTGAAGTCGATTCAATTCAAGTCCGAGCTAAATAGGATATAAATTGGGACATTCAGTCCAAGAACCGGTTAGTGATCCGAATCCGATAATTTATTTGCTTAACAAATTGAATATAAATTTAATCGATCCGATTCGAATTCGGTCCACAGTAATCACTTTTAAATCCCGCTCCAAGGTTAAGATTAACCCCCCCCCCCCCCCCCCCCCGCGGTCTCCGGCGACACACCAACTCCTTTATGTGTTAGGAACTTGGGACCAATCATCCCCCCACCCCCCGCGCGCGCGCGTAGTAATCACTTTTAAATCCCGCTCAAAGGTTAAGGTTAGAAATTAAATGCCCCCCGACACACCAACTCCTTTATGTGTTAGGAACTTGGGACCAATCATAGTGAATCAAACAGACAGGTCACAAATTAATACAACCATGTTATTAAGCAGAAAAAATAAATATATATATATATAGAGAGAGAGAGAGAGAGTTTAATAGTGATGAATCTAGACACGTGGCATACGTAGAGTTCAATCAATCAAATGACTCAAAAAATAAATAAATAAATAAATAAATAAAATAGTGGTTGGCAAATTCCGACACCACTTATTTGTCCAACATTCATGTTTATCTGCCCATAATTATTTCAGCCATTCTCCAAATTTCTGCCCCCTATCGACTTCCCACTCAACATTTACAAGTACTACTACTCTTCTTAACTGTGTGCCTCGTCCCCCTTGGCCCTATTGATACTAGAGATTATATTTAGACCGAGTCCAACCTAATTGTTTTCATAAAATACACTTGCAAAATATCAAATTCACGGTATTGATGATTGCATGAAAATTCAGTAGAACGTGCTTGATAAAAGATAAATTTTACTATGAACTCGTTGATAAAAGATAACGCAACTCGAAACATTAAAGCCATCACTCCAGACTCAAAAAATTTGGATTACCAACTTGCACCCCGAGTTTTACTATCAAACTTAGAGCATCTCTAATGTCCTCTTAAATTCAAAATATAGCAAGTGAATGAAAATTCATAATATAGCAAGTGAATGAAAATAAGACGCTGTAATGGAGTCTCAAAAGACCTCTCATATTTTGAGATTATCAAAAGTATTGTCGGATATAGTAGATTTCAAATGACCTCTTAAACTCAAAATATAGCAAGTAAATAAAAATAATACACTCCAATACCAAATATAAAAGCTCTCAAAAGACCTCTCGTAATTTTATATTTTTCTTGTTAGTTTTAATTTAAATATAGCATTTTGAATGGAATGCACTATTGGAGAAGAATTATTAAAATATATCATTTTGACATTGTATTTTCTCTCAAAATATAAATTTAGCATGAAAATATCGCATTTTGCATTGGACATGCTCTTATCTCATCCATTGTATTAGAATGGACAAAATATAGCAACAAAACCCTCATTAAACTATTTTTTAAAAAGGATTTTATTGTTACTTTTTTATGATACACAATCCAATGTTTCAGAACGTTACACGTCAACTAATTTTTTTTAAAACAAAACTATCTTATTAAAAATAAATAAAAACAAATTTCAATCAACATGTCTAAATAATCAATTTTCTTTTTCTTTTTCTTTTGTTCTAAACCATCAAGTTGAGTGAATAAGTAACATTTTATTTCACTTTTTGGTTTTTTTTTTAAAAAATTTTTATAATAAAGAGAGAGAGAGAGTTATGAGAGGAAAAAAATAATTTTCAGTTACCTCCCGTGAGTATCTAACAGTGGTGGTTAATCCACCTGCTCAACATAGTATTGTGATCACCAAGTTAGCCCAAATCAGCAAGTAAAGAAAAAAAAATTACTTTTGTTTTACCATATGTACAAATATCACTGTATATGTTATACTTTATATAATATATTATATAGAGTATATTATTATACAATTTATCTTTATTTTTGGACTAAAATTAAAATAAAATTAAAATGCAAAATAAACTCACTTTAAAACAATTCAACAAAAAATAAAATATGTATACAAACATGCTTCTCAAACAAAATTATAAGGAAGAACAAATTATATACGGAGTAATTATGGATTATTAAGGTTTGTATGTCACTCGATTTTTCAAAATTTCTTCAAATCAAAAATTTTGAACCCTAATTGGTAGGATTCGATCAAATTGAACAACTTTAATTTTTGCACCACAAACTAAACCTTATTTCCTTAACCTCAAATTCTACAAAGAAGGGTTGACCCAAAAAAAAAAAAAAAGGTGACTACGATTCTGTTTTTTTTTTAACTTGTTAATACGATTCCATATTCTACCACTTTTTTATTTTATTTTATTTTTTTTTTTTTCCACCTCTCTCCTTATATTTACACAAATATATGTGCCAAGAAAATCAAGGCAATCAAAACAAAATTAGTAAATACTGTATATAATATATATGTATATATGTATAGAGAGATTTTCTCTCTCTCTATATGCATCTTTTTTCATGTAGTTATTTTTTTATTTTGGGTCGTTTTTCTATCTTTTTGTTCTTCTTTAGGGTTTTCATTCATTTTTTTCTTTTGAGAATGAGAATGTTCAAATTTCAACTCATTAGACCCTTGAATGGAAAGTCAATTCATTAAATAATAGATATTACTTGTCATCATGTATATTGTATGTATATATATATATATATATATATATATACATATAATTTGATAAATATAAATTTAAGTCAGCGTTTTTACCTCTCATTAAATCAATCCAGTGATAAAATATCTGTTTGTATTTTTTTTCCGTTATAAGAACGCTAGCCTACTAAAGTTTCTAAAAATTGGATTCCCTAGCATAAGAAATCCCTTTACATTTGGCTGTCAGTCATTGCTAGTCCCGTAGTCCATTTGAAATCTACCGTCTTCACACAAGGAGTAGAGAGAGAGAGGTCTCTTTGATTTTCAGAGGGACAGGACAACCCACCATCCGCTTACCCTATACCTCCTTCCCCACAACCACCAATCATGCCATCAGGTGCCAAGAAAAGAAAAGCTGCCAAGAAAAAGCAAGGAAAAGAATCCAACAATAGTACTGACCCTGCATTTCATTCTCAAGGTACTTCCTCTTTACACTTCAATTTTCATTTTTCAAAATTTTTTTTTTTTTTTTTTTTTTTTTTTTTTTGGGTTTTCCAACAGATCCATGTGTGCCCATCATTCAATCAGTCACCCCCTTTATCTTTATGATCTTTCATGTCGATCTGTCTGTGAAAAAAGCTTGGTAGGTGTGTGGTAACATCTATTTTTTAACTTGATTTAGTTTCGAAGTACATCTCTCTCAATTATAATCTATATAAGTGTGGTCCAGATTTATATTGGAGGGGTTTACTGTCTACTGATTGTATGTATGTATGTGTGTGTGTATGCAATTGCGAAATTGGTTTGATGGTTATTTGTTAATTTGTCTTATTTTTCTTGGTTTTGTCTATGGCTACTTAGTTTATTGCTACTTTTCTAGTTCATCCTCCAATCAGTAGACACCCATCTTTGTCCCAATAATACATCTTTTGTTAATAATTCACCATATTGAACACTTGTGAATGAATCAAACTATGGTAGGTGATGATGGTGTGAAAACCCATGATGAGAACGAGAATGATGGAGGTGAGGTTAGCTCTCCAATGTCTCAGGACCACCTTAACCACCAGCATCAATTTACTGAGGGAGGGGAAGAAGAGGTTGAGAAGAGAGAAGACGCTTCATCTGCTCGATCATTTGTCTTGGAGAAAAATTCTATTGAAGGATTTGGCAATAACGGAGAGAGTATGCAGAAAGGGGCAATGGAAGAGGAGGGTGTTGTCCAGATTGATAGTAATTTAAAACCTGAGGATGAGTCTGAGGGCAAAAGCATTAGTATAGAATCGCATGATAAAGGCTCATCTACTGATGATGGGAGCTCTAGCAGTAGCAGTTCCGATGATGAGTCTCATGTCGTTGAGAAGAATGTAGTGGTGGTGGAGTCTGGAGAGTCGAAAGAGGAGAATTATTGTTCAAGTTTGGATGCTGCCTCTTTTGTTGATACAATTAAGCCAGTTGATTCTTTGTCCAAATTGGTAACTCAAATTACCGATATTCCAGTTGAGGGGGCTTATAATTTGGTTGTGGAAACTGCCCCTGTTATTGACTCGGATAAGGTTTCATTGGTTGAAGAGGTGGTTCAAGTAACTGAGAGTGCTCCGGTTGTGGATTTTGTGTCTTCTGATGTGGTTGAATCAGGGTTAAAGGAAAATGCAGAAAAAAAATTGCCTTCAGAAGACAAGAGTGCTGAGGCTTCATCAATCTATGTGGATTCAGGATCACAGAACAAAGAGGATAAAATGGTTTTAACATCAGATGAGAATGCTGCAGCAACTTCTGATGCAATGGGCTTTGCAGCACAAGAAGATGAAGATAAACTGTTGCTGTCACTTAATGCTGCCAGAGTTGAAAATGGTAATGGTGCAGAATGTATCAAAGACTCAGAGATTCCTGAATGCTCTGATAATCAAGTATGGTCCCTATTCTTTTTTTCTTTGTTTTTGGGCTTTGGAGTTGAGTTTGACTTTTGTTTACTTCACCTATGCACTGAACAAATGATGCTATATTATGCTGTTTTGTTGAAATTATTTGCAGCCTCAAGTAGCTTCAACTACACAACCGGTGCAAACAAGTTTCTGGAAGGGTTGCTGTGGATTGTTTGAGGTGTTTACAGGCTCCAATAGATAAATTCAGGTGGTGCAGCTTTTAACAGTTTCAAAATTTAATTTGATCAAGATTTCGAAGACTGAAATCCTTTTCACATTTTTATATCAGTGTAGACAGTCCCCCATTCCATTTTGTCTATGTAGACATCATTGGTCCGACAGCCTGGTCCTGTTCCCTCTATATATTTGAATGACCCCTATGAATTCTAAAATCCATTGATTAGTATTTTTATTCTTGACATTAATAAAAATAATAATAATAATTAGATTCATTCTTCCAATATTTGCTTACCAGTCAAATACTGCACCAAATTATAGGATGCATTAGCCTTTTTGTTCCTAAAATCAGATGTCTAATGGGTTGCCACCTGGACAGGCACCCAAATGTCAAAGGTTTATAAACTTCTGCATTGGGGAATTGTTCAGCCTCTGCCTATATTGGGCGCAAATCCTACCATCCTAGTTTGCTGTTTCTTGCCAAAATATTGAAGGGTTAACTTCTAAAACGTAGATCTACATAGATTTCATTTTCCTTATTTTAATTGGAAAAATAATAATTTGGAGTAAAATGAGTTGGATATAGCATTTAGAAGTCTATAAATGTGTTTGTAAAGGTTTATTTCATTATAGGGACGATGAAGGTCTAAACCTCTTTCCATTTTCTGCTTGTTTGGTCCTTGGAATTAAAGCGAGTAAGGGTTGTCATTGGAGATACGGGTGTATGATGAAGAAATTATTGATATGACCCTCCCCAAACCCTGCAATGGCGGGAGCTTTAAGCTAGCCCTTTATGGTTTGTGTTGTATCAAGGTTGAAGATGACCAGTGTCCTTTATATATATGTACGTGTGTGTGTATATAGTATGTATTTTTCTTGTTATGTTTTGGTTTTCTGCATCTTTGGGAGCACCATATTCGTCAAAAAAGTTACTTCAATAAAGGTGTAAATGAGAAGGGGGGGACTGTGTTCTAAAATACTAAAATAGTTAAAGTAGTAATGTGAGCCTGTGTGGATGCCAAGTCCTAAATGCTTAGTAACATTGAGGAATATCTTCCAAGATCCTTCCCATTATCATGACGTCTGACCATTGTTTGTAATTACCTCTCCAGCTAACTTGTTGCCATGGAATGAAAGTTCAATGCAGTTACCTCTACAGCTGACATGTTACCCATAAAATGGAAGTTCTGAAGATCTGAATCGTTTCCATAGGTATTATGGTCTTCTAGGGAATATTTTAGATCCTCTTTCTTACTCTGCAAAAGGGGTTTGATTCAATGACTTCCTAATATCTACTAGCATTGAAATTCTTCTACATTCTTACCTCCTTATGCATCTAGTTTCTACTTGATAAGTATCTTATGTGTTTATGCAAATGACTCAAAAAATGCCCTGATGCCTGTTTCCTGTATATCTGCACTTCATGTATGCAACAATGTACCAACAGTTCCTCTAGAGACTCTAAATCATGCATATCATTCTTTGTGGTTTCCTTTGATGCAGAACAAAACGTCTATGAGCTTGATTGGACCAGTGAAGTTTGCGGAACTCTAAGAAGTACATGGGTCAAAGAAGTGTGTTATAGTTCTCATCTGAAGTTTCTTTCCTGAACAATAATGGGTGAGAGGCCTGACGATAAAAACACTCACATATTCAGTAATTTTAGTGCTTCAGAAGAAAACTCAAATGTCTTTAGTTTTGTAATACTCCTTTCTTGTTATTTTTTTTTGCAGCGAGTAGTGTTTTTCTCCCTCTCTTTCTTATAAATTTTCCTTGTTTCCGTTTGTTGGCGTGTTGTATCCATATATAGCAGAAGATGCTTCCATATTAAATTGAGGAATTGCGTAATGCAGAATTTGCTTGTTCTACGGAGTGATTTAACGTCTGTTTGATTGCTTGCATGAAGCGAGTCTTCACACATTGTGAATTGCTTATTGTTGGATCCGCACTCTTTTCTCCTAATCTGTTTTCTTCTCTCATCATGAGCTTCTTTTTCTTTAAGCCTTAGTCCCTAGTTTGGAAGTAATCAATTATGTTGTGACACCAGCACCTTAAAGCCCGAGTCCCTGGTTTAGTCATTTGGTAAATTTAAGTCACAGAAAGGGATAGGACTGGGTGGTTACTTTGCTGTTTTGATGGACAGTCCCGAAATAAAATTTTGTGATATGATATACATGCATGAGTTGGTTTTTTTTTTTTTTTTTTTTTTTTGGGTATTCATCCACTAGCCTCTTTGGACTCTCAGATGATTTGCAAACTCTGGGATTGGTATTTGGCGCACCCTAGTTGTCAAAAACTAAGTCACATAAAGCGGGTGCAAGAACTAACAGGCCTGTCGATTAGCGGTACAAGGGTCTTACCTCTTAAAGGGAGGTCAGGAGTTTGAACCTCAGTGGAGGTAGTGTGTGTGAGTCTTAACTAGGAAAATAAAATAAAAAAAGCGGGCGCAAAAGCGAGAAAATTTAAGTTACCAACGGGAGCGGCACACCCGTATAGTTGGGTAAAAAACACAGCTTTTGTGTGGAATTGCATAGTAGTATTTAAATACTAATTTCCAAAACCTTCAAATTCTTCCGGGGTGACGAAAGTATCCAAAATTAATTCAATGCATTTCTCTGCTCATGCTCAAATCTCCAATATTTTTCCTGAGCAATTTTATTATTCTCCAACCTCTCTTTCTTGAGTAATAATATTTTCTTGTTATATACCACTGTATTGACTTTGTAGTGATGCAGAATCAAGAAGCAATGCAATCTTTTTGTGCAAACAAATTCAAATGCTCATTTCAATCATAATCTTCATACATCACTTCTTTTCTTTTCATTATTGTTCCTTCCTACAAATACAATTATATATATATGTATATATATATCACACGAATCATCGCAGCCAATTCCCTCTGTACAGTATGAATAGAAGAAAATAAAATGGGCAAACAAATTAAAGGCAAACCACACCAACACACAAACAATGTGCCTCAACCCTCAAATTTGACTTGATGGAGCGCCATGAATGGCAGCTATGTATAGAAACTGAGTAACCGAAAGGATAATCATGAATGCTTCCATTGTTCTCTGCAAAACAGAACAAGTATTTGTAAAATATAGCTAAATATTGTTTTCATGAAACTTATGAGAGTGTAGTAATTGCATTTTGTTCTTACCAGACGCGCGTTCCTGGTGTGCAGATCAATCTCTTTCCAGGCAAAGCTGCACAAATCATATAGCTTGTTAATTGAAAGAAAGACCATAAGAAGTGAATTCAAAATGAACAAGTTAGCTCATGACTTAGAGGAAGGTTAACTAGTGATTGATGATGAGGTCTTTGTTAAGGACAAGGACTTACCCCATAGCAAGGAGAGTGAGAGTCCATGCTATTGTGGCAGCAGAAGCAGCAGCTGGGAAGCTATCAGAGCTCCAAATACGAATGTGGTGGAATCCAGAGATGACTGATGCAACGCCAACAACACTCGCAAGCAAAGCAAATAGTACGAAGAATCCAGTTGCAGCATTCCCCATTGGGAAGTATATTGGTGAGAAGTGTGCCGGAAGATCAAATCCCGGACCTGTTATCATCTTCCTCAGCATTAGTATGTCAAGAAAATGCAGTGTTACATGTCTAGAAAGAGAGACAGAGAGAGAGATTTACCAATGATGAAACCATGATCAATAGCTTTGTTCATTGACCATCCACCAATGGCCAAAACTATGACATACATGCAGAAGTTAAGGGCCAAAAGCAGGGTTGCAACAGGTTTTAACTGAGCACTAGCCATTTGATGGACTTGGGAGTTCAGGATTTTTTAGGGCTCCTAAAATGAAATGCAGGAAAAATTGGACACAAACATGTGTTTCATTAGGTGGGTTGGTCTTATAGATGGGATTTTAAGGGTTTTGAGGTTCTTTTCTTGTAAGTCAGTCTGTTCCAAAGGGTTTTGTGGGGTTGTAAAGAGTGCTTCAAATTCAAGGCAAAGACACGAAACTTAGATTCTCTGTTGGCTCACATTTCTTAAGTATTTCTTTTTAATGCCACATTCGTTGATTAAGCTTCAGTAGTTCTTTCTAAGAGGGAACAATATATTCGTTGCCAATTGGAGAGGATGCTTACGTGTCAAACTATGTGGCAACATACTCAATCTCACCCCGCCATCTGTCATATCATGTCTAATGGGGGGATTCATAAAAAATAATAATAATAAATAAAAAATAAAAAAAATAAGAGATGAAATCTAAGTGATAATTTGTAAATAAATTTATATATATATATATATATATATATATATATATATATAAATTTTAAATGTTCAATCATAAATGAAATTTCAATTACTTGAAATTTTAATTTATTCTAAGTGACAAAGTTGCATCCTTATTGTGTTACTAAAATTACTTGACTAAATAAATGCGAAATTATTTAAGATTAACTACTGAAATGAATTGAGTTATCAAATTGCGAGTGTTTAGTATTAATACCCAATTATTAACTTAAACCATAATCATGAGAACAAATAAAAGGAGGATCCTTTTAAGAGATAATTGGTACATTCTTTTCCTATTTATAGATGCTCGTTTTTTACAAATCAAAAATGTGCCTCTATAAACTTGTTTTCTCCTTTGGAATGCATCAGGACTATTAAAGGACCTTGCCACATGAACCGACCAACATAGCCGAGTGGCTTTGCTGCCGTGTGATGCATCTGTATGAGATCTTAGTGTTTTAGTTGCGTGATGGGATAATCAAAGGCTGCAATGACCCTCCACTTTGTTGGTCAGTCTCTCTAATCAGAAAAAAGTCATTTTCTATAACTAAATTGAGCCAAGTTGAGCCCGATAAAACATTCACGTTTGGCCCAATAGATCACAGTCAGAAAGCTGCGCTCTGAGAGAAAAGGTTCGTGTCTATGCCCTACTAGAGACAATATTGTTATCGTTTTTCGTATTTTTTATTATATTTTCCATTTTTTGAACCGACTTGTTTAGTAAATAGGATTCCCAAACATTCTTTGTCATCCTGCACTACAGCACTCACCGCAACAATTAGCAACACATTTAGATGCAACACCCCGGTAACATATTATATCGTGTTCTAGTACCTTTAAATAGAGAATTTAATACATTTACATAATTATTGCATTATCGATTAAAAAATATTAACGTTACAATGTAAACACAAAAAGGCAAACAAGGACCAAAAATATGCCGGCAAGGCTCTTGATTCAATAGCATAAACTATCCCGGTCATTACAGAGAAAAATAAATAAAAGGCTACAGATCTTTTTATGTGTTATGCACGTATGAAACACTAGTATTTACCATCTTTTCTAAACTTTACTTCAAACTAGGAAACAAGTTAAATTGTAATCTGAAATGGTAATCCCTAGGAATGTTGAAATTTGATTAAACAAACATCAAGTTAAGCACACTAGTGGGAACTTCTCTCCTGCATTGTAATTTCCCATTAGAAGGTTTACAGTTCTAGGGGTAAGACTTCCTACTTTAGTTTTGATTCAAGCAGGGAATGCATCAAATGTAGAAAATTCATATAACTAAATCAATGCCATCTTACCTCCACTTGATGCAAAAAACAAAAAACCGAATATGCTTTTACTTTCTTATAAATTACATAAAAGCTGAATATGCTTTTGCTTTATGTTACAAAATTGTAATATCATTCAAGGAAGAAACAAGAGATGATTGGAGAGGATAAAAAAAAAATGACAGCGGAATATCTGCCCTCCGAATGAAGTAAAACAGGCTAAACAGCTGAAATTTGTTCAATTTTCAGGGGAGAAATATCAAAGATGCCGTTAGGCAGGTTAGTTGTTATAGAAAAATCTCAAGAAAGATTCTTAGCAACACAAAACTGCATACCTATTGTTATTGCAACTGGCAGCCAATCCATTATAGATCTTCACAAAACCTGCAGATAAGAACTCAAAAAGTTTACAACTTAATATATGAAGATAGTAACTTAGCAAAGGATGTCATGACAAGCAATCATTGTCAACTGGTTTGCACAAAACTCCACAAAACGATCATCTTTGTCTTCCTGACAACTCTAAAGTAGTCAATAATGGCAATTCAAGTTTAGCTCTCACCCTCTCTCACAAACTAGTTGTTTGCACTCTCAACATAACCTTTGAGGGGCCATTCCATTTCAGAAACAATCTTGATCCTTCAACCCACGTGTGCAGCCTGGAAAAACGATATCTAAAGGCATGCCACTGTCTCTTTGTTCCACTGGCCCATATACTGTAAAGTAGAATTCCACACCCCTAGAAACTTCTACAACTCCCGGATCAACTTTAATTTTAGTCGTATGAAACCATAATTTGGAACTGGTAACCTTCAGCAAATTTACATTCTCAGCGTGTGTACTGCCATTGCTGGTTTAGTCACTAGAGCACTTACTATATAGTGTACTGCCCCAAATCAATACATTGTCTTAGTTATGAGGAAACTCCTTTGGAATTTAAGTCATACTACTTCCATATATCTAAAATCTGTTCTAGATATATATAATTATACCCAGGCAATTCTCCTTCTGGTTTACATGAATTACTTAAAGACATACAACTGAATTTGCAGATGGCAAAGCAACAAGCATAAATATGCATAAAGACCACTTCTCTGATCAGCAGATACAATTAGTAACAAGACCACTTCTCTGATCAACAAAGACCTCACTAAAAAAAAAAAACAGTAGAAGACACTACTATTTAATGTTGGTCCTGCCTATACCCCAGGGCCTGGGAAGAGAGAAGCAAACGCAAGCCCAACCCTTGGTCCCTCAACCTTAGAAGCAGGTTCTCACACTTGGCAACACAAGCTTTTACTATTACATTATGACTCTTAGTTAAGAACATCTTCTTCTCTTCAAAATTCAAATCATAAATAAAATAAAAAAATTATCCCATGTTAGTCTCACCTATATGCTGACTGCTGGGAAGGGTGAAGTAAATCTCAAACATAACATTTGGCATTATTTTACACAAAGTGGCTGCTCGTAGATTCGGAAACCATTATCATGCCTGGCAGGAGATTTTAGCATTGCTACACAATGGACCTTTAACTAACTAAATAAATAGATCACAATAGCTCAACATAACCTAATATTGAAGTCAAAAGCACATGACATATGCCGGTATCATGAAAGAACGGTGAGGCAAGTCCAATGACGAAGATTTAATTGTGCTTGAAGGACTTTTGTTGACACCTTTGACTTTTAAGGGCAAGCATTTCTACAAGGTTGAAGCCAAGGAGATAAGCTGAGAAAAAGATGAATGGCAATCAAGTCCTAATATGTAATCTAGATAAACTTGAATAAAAATACCAGAATGACACACACTTACAGAATAGACAAAAAAAATAAAAGCTAAGGAAATAAAATATTACAGAAACTCAAGAGCTTCCATTCTTGAAACTAAAGTTGGTATTTTATTAAGTCACTCTCCCTTTGGTGCTTTGCCTACCTAAACAATACGAGGATTTTTTTATTGGAGCTTTAAATTCATTGCATTTTAAGATCAATTCTAATTTTTCTATACTTACAATTAATTATTTTGCACTTAAAGTTAGTGTTTATTAAGTCTCTCTCCCTTTGTTGCTTTGGCTATCTAAACAATATGAGGATTTCTTTATTGGAGTTTTAAGATCATTGCATTTTAAGATCAATTCTGATTTTTCTATACTTATACCTAATCAATTTGCACTTAATTTCGTTGGACGAGATTATTTTAATGTTAGTTTGGATCCAACTAGGATTTAATTAGATCAGTAACCTATTAATTTTGCTTACTTGTCTTTTGGACTTCGTTTCTATGCATCTTTTTTCAAAAATAAAGAGAAGTCTGTTTAAGTAGTTATGAGCAGATTGCTATAAATATAAGCTCTTTAAAGCCTTTTCAGCCCACAGTGCACCTTCACCATAAAGAAATGACATTGTCTGTTAGGCTAGCACAGTTCTAGACGAAAATAGGTTTACAGGTCTAGACCTGACATGTTACCTCCTCATAAAAGCTTTCTAAAAAGCAAAGCATCCTAAATATATAGTAAATATCATGATTTGTGAACTTGTGATGGAGATCCTGAGCTGCACGTACTATAGATGTAGTCTTGTAGGCGCAGAGGATGATTTAGGATTTATTTTATTTTACTTTCCTTATTTATTTAGGGTTTATGTTTCCCATTAGAGTTTATTGTTATGCCGATATATATGGGTGATTGATACATTGTGGGGCACTTTTCATGAATATTGATTAATTACAGAGATTATTATCAGTGATTTCCTTCTCCCTCTACTTCTTCTCTCTTCTTCTTCCTCTCTCTCAATCTCTCAACTGTCCTGCATCAATTTGTTAAGCAAAAAATGCTGAATTTCAGACCCTATATTCTGTCCAAACAACACCAAGGACTTCCTGCTAGTTCTCACTTCTCACCATGAAGGATTCCTCTCTTTCAGTTTTCCTCTTTCCCCTGAAGATATTCTCTCTATCGTACATATATTCAACAACATATATATACCATCTGCGTGCCCAACTTTGCCACACCCTTCAATTGTACTTCGGTAAGGAGGAAGTCACTTTTTAAACTTTCTAACTAACATTTTTCTGAGATACTATCATATAAAAATGCATTTCTACCCCGACAGACATGAAAAGAACTTTTCAAAAAAAACAATCTATCCTACCCCTATCAATAAGATATTTAACATTTTGGTATTTGAACTAAGCCTCATCAGCTTCTGAAATTAGAGAAACTCCATATAGTCAATTAGATATTGATATCATAAGACCAATATCATAATTCTTGAAGAGGGAAATATTTACACAAGTAATCAAGGATTTTTTTTTTTTTTTTGAAGGGGTAAGTAATCAGGGCTTTTCAATCATGTAAAAGATGAATAAGACATCTGCAGCCAAACAATTAACTAATATACAGTAAGAACTTCCAGAACATAAAAGTATGAAAAAATTTCCTCACTAACAACAAGGAAAGGCAATGTTACTAGATAACCTGCAAGTCTTACTGTTATAACTATAGGTGTCAATCCCAATAACCTCCACCCTCCTTACAGAAATAGAAAAGATTATAGAGGTCCATGAACACCCCAAAATCATATGAAGATCATACAAAACGTTGTACTGAACTTGAGCGAGGAGAGTTTAAATCAGCTAGGCTAATAGCCCAGTGGTATATTGGAATAACTATGGTTTTTTAGTTTCAGACTTTTTAACTTTTATAATATTTCACGACATCTTGCAACTCCTGTGTTTCCCTGAAATATCACTAGTTGCAAAAGTGTATAATTGTTTTAATTTAATATATGTTTATCTTATCCTAGCTGAGAGAGGTTATGTCCTAATTTTCCTCAAGTTCTCATCTGTTTATGAAATCCTTTCAAATTCCTAAACTGTTTATTGACTCTTGAAAATCAACAAGTATATAAAATGCTATCCCTCCCATGTCATGTTTCATAAATTGACTTGCACAAAAAAAATAATAATAATAATAATAAAAAGAAACAAAAACAAAACAAAACAAAGCCCCAACTTACTGGTCTGCTAATCACGGTTTCTGAAAAACAAAAATCCATATCCTATTTAATGAACATAAACAATTGAAGGATGATAGTACCAATTAAGCATATTGTAATGCAAAGACTAAATCATTTCCAATTGTTGAGTCCCTAAATTTAGATTTCTTCAAGATTTTTTGGCGTTTGGCATCCTTTTACCATTAGCCATAGGAATAGTAAAGAGCACTCAAAAGACAAAATATGATTGCAAATTGGGACCAACTAGTATTTGTGGAAAAAAGAGTAAAAATTTATTTCACAATATAATAATTCATATGCACAATATTGTGCATATATTAGCACAACTGTAGAGAAAATAGAGACATTCTTGGCAACTACCCTCTTCCAAAAATTAGATTGAACATTTGGCAATATTGCTGAAAGAGAAAGAAACGCAAAAGGAAAGAACACCAAAAGTTGACAAGACTATGTGACTAAAAATTTTATTGCAAAAACCATCCTATCATGATACAAAGAGATCAAAGAGGAATGGATATTGAGCATCCAAATTGGACGACAATTTTTGCTTAAATGAGATGACAGGGATAAGGAGCTGTTAAATTGAGCTAATAAAGAGAGAACAAGGGGGCACTTATTCCTTGTTACCGAATCTCTTCGCAATAATAGGACGGACATCATCAGCATCTACTAAGGTTTCTAGGAAAGGAAGTAATGAACATAATGCAGAGTCTGATGGGTCATCAAACCAACTCTTGATAGGAATCCCATTATTTATTTGCAACTGGAAAACCTGCAATCATAAAAAAAAAAATTCTCAATATTCAGGATCTTTTCTAACAGAGACATGGACTTCTTTCTCATTTTCTTCATTCTTCTTTTTCTGTTCTCCTTTTTCCCTTAGGCATATAGACAATATTTCAAATGTTACTGTTAACCTACTGGAGGAATTAATATCTTTGTTTACTCTCTAAAAAGGAAATGGAAAATATTACTCTCAAATTTGATCCAAATGAAAAGTTACTCATGACTTTTACTCAGTAAAACCCAAAAGAAGTAATAGTTTTTTACGAGTGGATCATCCAAACCCCTCGTTGTTCCTAAATTTCTAGCAACAAGGACTGGTCCAAATTAACATATAAGTTAGTAGTCCAACTTAATTTGATCTTACACATACATCTTCATCACAAAAAGAATAAAACAGGATTATGACTATTTAGAACATGACCGATGAAGGAAGTTAAGGATAAAAGGAAAAATATGTTTTAAAAATAGTGAAGCTAGCAAAGGACAGAACCATCAAAATGGGCAGGTACTGCACCTGTGGGGAGTTATCAATTATGGCAACTTTCGCAAGATTGACACCTAAAACTGTCAAGTCCTTAATGTAATTTCCATCCGAGAAAATGCATGATTCACGATAAGCTCGACGTGAAATAAGTTTTCCATCTGGATCCAGTATATCCAGAAGTTGCTCTGCATAGATGCTTTGACTTGCTGTGAAAATCACGATTTCAAACATCTCTGCAACTCTCTCCAGGAATGTCAGGAGATAAGGCCTCTGTTTCACATAAACAGTGTGCTCATTCATGTTGAATAAAACAGGAAAGGTAAAGTCTGCATCCTCACTATGTTCTAACGTAGAGTGTACCAGTGTTTCTGCACAAATGAAAGCCAATGTAACCAAATTTCAATACCAAGAATAACTCAAAATATTTTTTTAAATGATAACTTTAAATAAATAAAAACCATTCTTGAAAGACGATGCAAAGCATAGAACCCACATATTTCGAAGTAAAAATCACCCGACGTATATAGAAATTTAATAATAAAAAATTAGATCAATAAATGAAATTTTTCTCAAGATTTTTAGTAAGCATATACTCAGGAGCACAAATTTTTCTTACCATCCAAATCAAGTACTAGAGTGATAGGTTTGCTTTTCAGTTTTTCCTTTGGTAATTTGGTGGGGCAAACTATTGTTGTCACATCTGGTAGCTCTGGTGGATTTCTGATAAACATGTGTGGATCAAAGAACTCTGCTTGATCTGAATCAGGGCAGGGATTATGATCAGATTCCTGGTTGCAGGATCTCATCTGATGAATTGCTAGATATAAGCTTGAATCATCTGAAGCAATGGTGGCTTCTTCACATGTTCTGCCATCATGGCTATTTCTTATTACCATAGTATCCTCAAGGGAAGGCAATATCATGTATTCTTCAGTCAAATCAAGTAACATACTAGGTTCATCACATCTGTAATCAGGAAAAGTAGTCTCTGTGATATCATCATACATCAAGTTGCCTTCATTGGGTAAGCCAGCAACAATCATGTCAGATATGTCGAGGTCTGGTACATTCCAAGTTAGATATTCACATGAATTTCTTCCATTTTCATCACTATCTTCAGCTCCTAGCCATGGCAAATCAAAATCTCTGTTGCTTCCTATAGTGGCATGAGAGACACCTATGAAACAAATTAATAAAAGTGAGATGAGAGACATGTAGGAATATAATAATGTCACTTCACTTCTAGTTTGTCTAATTCAAAACTGAACATGGAACTTTGATTTCATGTTGTTTTTCTATAGAAGTGAATAAATTCCCAAAAATAAGATTGGAACCTAATTTCAAAAAGAGAAAACAAATTCAAACCACTACATCCATGTCATTTGACACTTCCTGTAGATAAACATTGACTATCACCTAAGCCTTATGTGCAGAAATTTGATTCCAATCCCCCCTAAGAATTCTCAATGCATCACAGCAGAATTGGCAGTATAGCTTTATGGTAAGTCAATATAGTAAAGAAGCTTGGAATGGGTATCATATATAAATACGACATTAAAAACTTACGCATTGTGTATTTCATGAATTAGATTATATAAAAACTTTTTGGCATCGTTTATTAGGGAAAAAAATAGATTGAACATGATGCTTTTTTCTCTCTTTCCTTCTTCCTTATTTCTAAATTTAATTATTTGTTGAACAATGATACTGTAAATTTACTCTGATTAAACCAAGCTCTCCAGAATATGTGTGCACGCGCGTGACCGTTAGTGCAGTGAAAATTGAGTTACAAAGAGCTTAAGGTGTGTTTGGAAATGTTTTCAATGGTACCAAAAGAACTTAAAGAAGACAAATAATTGTGGCAGTATGTTCTGAAGATTTCTACACAGACGGACCGTAGTCTAGAACCATAAAAAGTAGCTATCTGGAATTTCACTCCAACATCCTGCTTGGGAAGAAACGAACAACAGGCAACAAACTTTCAACGGTTTTCATCATTTTTATTTCAAATCTTACAGGCATTTTGAATACCAATCTTTAAATTATTTCAATAGGATTCAACCAGCAACAATTAAGGCCATACCTGTGTCACTGTAAACATTTCGTTCACTGGGAACTTCAATAGACTCCAGAATAGGAGAGAAAATTGTCTGCAAGTTTGATGGGCAGATGGCTGTTGTGGATCCCTGCAATCAATTGAACCATCATGGCTAAATTACCTCAATAGTAGATCTAAGGATTACAGTATCAGAGTTTTTCAGATATATTACGCAAAATGAGAACATCTGAAGGAAGCAAATAAAATCTAAGACACTTGGGGGGGGGGGGGGATTAAGTGAACAGACAACAAAGGAAAGATCATTTGGGTGTATTTCATTTAGTTATATGGGCAATTTATCTACAAACCAATTGGCGATGTACATTTATAAAAAACAAAAACAAAAATCATGCAACGATCTTCCTTTCCTTTGATAGATAAAAAATAAAAACCACTTTAATGGCATCATTACGAGATCTTAGATCCTTAAAAGGAGGCAGACAAGAAAAGGCTCTCTTTATGCCAATTACCGAGTGAAACACGACAAGGAGGATAAGGTTTGTGAGGGTAAGGTAAACCATAAACATGGAAGATTCTGACTACATGGGCTAATAAGTATCATATACATTTAAAATTTCAAAGTTACATCTGCAATTGTTTATACATGAAAGATAGCTTGCAAATTGTATGTTTGGTATTTCATTGGAAACAAAACAATGGACCTTACTAAGGGAAGTGAAATTGCATTAAATACACAACTAGAACTGACCAACCAAAATTGATTGCAGGATCTAAAAGTGGTCAATATGGGATTCACCAGATTCACATACTTGCTCACGTATGAAATCTATGGATCGACACACAAAATGATACAAAATTGCCATCAGTAAGTGCACTAACTGATCAATCATCATCCGGAGTTGCCAATTTAAGATGAATTTTTACCATTGGCAGGATGAACAAAATTGCAGTGGGGTAGCAGCAAATAAGAAAAATTTTGAATGCAAAAATGGCCCCAAAATCTTCCACGAACATGTATAAAATGAATAGCTATATGCCAAACATCTCAAGTGGGCCATATTTCCATTGTAACACTTCTAGCCTTTCCCAAGCTATTTTTTTTGCCCAAATTGCACAAATAAAAAACTATGCCAAGCTATTTTTTGCACAAATGGAACACTATTGCCATTTGAAACAATTTAGAATTCACATAACTGCCAGTGGGTTAGCACTTTCTCTGAAACCAGTAAAGTATGTTATTAAGCAGGGTAAAGTGAAGCTAGAGAATTTCTGAAAAAACTTGAGAATTTCTTAGACTACTTTTCAAACATAATATCACATCTAAAAGAACAAAGGAATAAAGTCATTTGGAAAGCATACAACTGCAGTTACAAATCAATAAAAGACTAAATCTGACATATGGAGGTTAATAGATATCATAATATTTGTAAAATAAGTACATAACAGATCAGAACAATAAATGTATCTATATAGAAGATATTATTAGAGCCTCTAAATTATATAAAAAAGAAACCACAATAAATGCAATAAAAATGAAGAATATTAAATAACAATAATAATATACATGAATGGATAATTATAGAATATGTAGCATGGGTACCTTGATGATCTCAACATTTTATACATTTACTACTGAAGCATTAAAGAATAAACTACCAAAAATTTGGGCAATTAATTATTCTTTTTTCTGTTTTCCTTCTTTTCAGCTTAAAGAAAAACACAGAGAAGCACAGCACGGAATATATTTCTCAAAGGCTAGATAACATGGATTAGATTTAAGGTAGATTCCAAGCAAGAACTTCATGCAAATATTTTAGTGCACATGGAAATTTTCTATCATTCAACGTACCAGCACAAAAATGACATTAAAATAAAATAAAATAAAATAAATCTGAAGTAAATACCACAAAACCCAAATAAAATGGAAAAGAATGTTTTTCTGTAATTAGATAACCAAACATTTACAACAGTTGAGCCTTTACAATTAACAGCTTACCATTCTCCCCATAGTTGCAGAATCAACTAAAGGTGATAACTGCTCCGGCACCTGAAGATTTTCATCATCGAGCAATTCATGGTGGTCAATTGCTTCATCACCTCCGATGTCCAAAGCATGTACTATATTGTATAAAGAAACTAAAAAATATAAGTATGGCAATTAAAAGAAGAAAAAAAAAAAAAAAAAATCACATGAAAAGTATTTTTTCCATCGCCCACATGAAAAATGTAAAAATAAATACATAAAAAAGATAACCAGCTAACTATAAAACTGACGAAATCTGAAAGAGAACATATCCATGCAAATGATACTTAGATATATTGCCTCTCAACATTTTCTGATGACCACAATTTTAAATATCATATACATATGGTGTAATCAACGACGGTGGATCATGTCCACCACAATTAAAATACCGTCATGATCCATATGGCAACCAACGACAGTGGTCTTCTATTATACTTGGAAACCTAACTGGTCTCTGAATACCATTATGAGATTATGAATCATGGTGTCTTCCTGCCGACCAACGACGGTGGTCTTCTATTATACTTGGAAACCTAATTGGTCTCTGAATACCATATGAGATAATGGATCATGGTGTCTTCCTGTCGACCAAAGACGGTGGTCTTCTATTATACTTGGAACCCTCGCTCGAAGGTAATAATAATCAAGTTTAACCTTGATGATTATTAACACAGTAATTTAGCAAGCTAGGTATTGGAGATATTTATAGGGAAGCTGAAGTAAATACATTTAATTTAGTCTGAGAAAAGGCAGGAACCATAGACTCATAAATTTAGGTAATAAATGCAATTTACAAAAATAAATTAAGATATGAAAAAACAATAATCTTCAGCCTTTATTTTTCATAAATTTGAGCTGTAGTTGTATAATGTTTCAAGCAGTGATTACTAAATTTTCTAAAGTGGAGAATCTGGAGATAAAAAGATATTAAACCGATTAAGATGATTCGGCTGTGTGGAATGGAAACCAATAACTGAATCGGTGAGGAGAAGTAAGATGCTCCACATTTAGGGTGATACTAACAGAAAGGGGAATAAATTAAACGACAATATGAGAGAGGGAACAAATAAAAAAAAAAAACAGAAACAAAAACAAAAACAAAAAACGTCACCCGTATTGCAAAAAACAAGAAAGATCTCTTCCTCTAAAAAATTTGCTAAGTTCAGTTCCCTACCATCCTGACAATTCTGAACACTAGTCTCAAATTCTGCTGCTTGCTGAGAAATCCTGAAATGATTTTTGGATATCATACTCGATTTTTGGCATACATGGAGACCCTTTCTTTCTCTTAAACAGCCCGTGGTTGACTTGGTCTTCATTTTAATTGATGGCATTTGATCTGTACTTGTGATATGCACCAGAATCTTGATTTAAGAACATTAACGGGAAACAAAATGCCACTTAATTAATCAAATGAGCTGCAAGAAATTGTCAGAGAAATAACTAGGATAAGAAACAGAGATATCAGAACAGTCGAATATGTAAAGGAAGATGCATTCATCAGCAGTCATAATTCATAAATTGTATAGAAATAGTATTCAAATGTACATGTATCTATGTGAATACAAACACACAAACAGGTAAATATGTAAGAGAGATACTAGAATCACTACCATTCATGCATATACCTAAGTCCGGATAAGATCAGACAATGTACCTTCAATATATATGAGCAAAATTCATGTCCACCTTAATTCTCACTAGGGCATCAAATGAACTGAGCTGTTCATGAACAGCTTGGGATCAGTTCATTTAAAACTCGGCTCGATCTTGTTTTTTTTAGCTTATTTAGTAAACAAGCCGACTTTGAACAGGCTCATGAACACTAAAATCAGGTAGGCCCGTATGTCTTCCATGAACAAGTTCATAAACATAGGCTTGTTCATACTTCTATAGGTTCATCATAAAACATACGTTCATAAAGGTTGGCCTTTTCTATTAAACAAGACAAGCTGAAACCGAGCTTTTCAAAATAATTATGTGCGGAGCCCGAGCTCAACTTTTCAAGCTTGCCAAAATCCCGAGCTGAGCTCGACATGGTCGGGATGAAATCAAAAAAGAGGGAAAAAAGGGAAAGAAAAGCGCAAAACTTTTGCAGTAATAAGAAATCACACGCCCTCTATTTAAATGGTGTGTATATATACCCACTCGTGTATATATAAGAATCCCAGAAAAAAAACCTGATAAAACCAAGAAAAAGAAAACGAAAGACCTAGAAAACAGCAAACGATCTTCATAGACAGTTGAGAGATATCAAAGAGAGAAAAAAAAATTAAAGAGCAACAATAATATTTCAACTGAAGTCAACCCAGGTGATTGAAAACAACAAGAGTAACAACATTCATAAAGCTCACGAGAATTCACAAACATCAAATCAGAATTTAACCAATCTACCAACATAAACCCTAGAAAAAAGAACAAACGTGAAACTGGCAGTTCGTACAGTTGAATTACCAGTTGTAAAGTTGATACGCATATACACACACATCGAAACACACAGAAAATCAACATATTAAGCTGATTGAGGTATGAAATACAGTGAATTTCAGACAAACGTAAACATTAATTCATACCCGTGTAGCAACAATCTCTCTCTATCTCTGTCCCAATACGCGCTTTCTCTCTCTAAAAGTCTCTGTTTCCATATTTTCTCTCTCTAATCAGGCCCCTTATAACTTCGACGAGGGAACGGTCACGAGGGAATCATTAGAGGCGAACTTAAGAAAGATGAGATGGACGGCTGTGATCGGACCTTCGAATTTTGGGTTCCACCAATAGAAGTTTGCCACGTCAACTGTAGTCCACCCAGATCAGCATGACGTATTGACACGTGTTTCGCGGAAAGAGATGAGTTGTCAAAGGTACGCGACTAGTCCACGGCGCTTCGTAGCACGTGTACGACACATCCCTCAATTGAGGGCTGCTGAATATGAATTTGGATCTTCTCCTCCCGGGCCCTACAAGAAAATCCTTATTCGGCTCACACACCACAGCGGACCATCCGTATGAGCTTGTGCTCTTTTGGTATGCATACATCATGCAGCCCAACACAACACTTGCGCAAGAATTAAAACCATTGTACACTAAAACAATGGGACATTCTTTCCATCGTAGTCGTGCGAACAAGGTTCACACCAATGAGTTAGGGTGGGCTACTTGGGTTCGTAAGTCATAATCGTATCGTGTGTTATCGATACAAGGGTATTATATTAAATAAGTAAATTCAAACTCAACCCATTTAATAATCGTATCAAGAACCCTCAACACTAACCCAATCCGTTTATTAAACAGGTAAAGGTGTTAACACGTTCAATGACCTGTTTATCAAAGCGAGACATTTAATATTTAATCAAACACAAAATAATATAAAAAATTTAAAATAAGAAGAAAAATCATAAGTCATATACAAGGTTTATATTGAAATGACTTAACTATCCATAATAATTGGGTTTAAATAAATAATATATTACTTAGGTAATATTTATGATAACATGTTGAGTTAAATGGATCATAAATGGGTTACATGGGTTGAACCCCTCAATCCTAACCCAACACGGTTAAGTAAATGGGGTTAATCGTGTAGATTCTTGTAGACCCAAACCCGTTTCTGTCAAATTCAAACCCTTTTAACTCGTATCGTGTTGTAATTTGTCACTCCAACCATAAGGTAATCTACACTACACTCGGGTTGATTGAATATATACAATCTTTTAATTTTTTACTATTTTTTATATATTTATTTAGAACTCGTTTGACGTTACTTTTATCAGTAGAGTTGTTATAAAAGTACTACAATTTTAAATTTGTTTGTTAATATTATTATTTAAAACACTTTTATTACTAATTTTATTACAGTAATAAACGAGTTCATTATCCTAATGTAATTTCATCATGAGGCTGAAAATTTTTCTTAACTCAATAGTTCGAAAGCACTCTTAAACGGTTAAAGATGCACTTATAGAAAATTTCTAACAAATAAATCTGGAGATACTACCAATGTCTTTGAAAATTCTAAGCTAGAATTTCTTAAGTAGATGTAATACACACCAAAATTTAGAATCGATAATATTATAAGCTTAGTGTTGAAAGTGTGAAATTGGGTACATATATATATACACATATATAATGTATTATGATATACAAAGTGATGGTAATAGAGCCGCATTTTATTTACTTAAACTTCTTAGTATTTTATTTACTTGAACGTTTTTTTTTACCCCGGATGCACTTAAAATAATAATGACAAATGAGGGATTATATTGTCCAAAAACGTGAGATACTAACCTCTACCCAGAACCCAATTAAAAAGTTTCAATTTCCAGCTTCATCGTTATGCGCTTTTTTCATTAAACTTCTACGTCCTAAAAACACGTTTTTTATTCACCTAACACCACAAAACGCTATTTTTTAAAATTCAACATGCGTTTGGATACTGTAAACTTAATCCCAAACCAGCCTTATTAGGTGATTCTCTTCGCACCATAGGGGCTTGAACCTCGTTAAAACTCTCTGCCCTAAAAATATATGTACATGGAAATTTGTTTATATGGAACTAATTTGGTTTTTTTTTTTTTTTTTAATGGAAAAAATTTTCAATCTTATAAGAGGTTGTAAAATAGACTTTGAACATGTTAATTCATCAACAAAATCAAACATATAGACTTTGAACATGTTAATTCATCCACAAAATCAAACATACCATTTGGACTGTGATACTTTTGCGTAACGAATGGATACTTGTTCATTTACCCAAAAGTTTAAATTATTGGATAGTGTTACATACTCATTCATTTTATACACATTTCACTTTTCATCCTGATTCGATAGGGGATAAGCAGTGACGTAGCCACATAGGGACAAGTGGAGGCAATTGCCCCCACTGAACTTTTAATTTTTTTAAATTTTATACGAAGAGATTTTTATATTTGTATAATTGGCCCTTCTAAAATTTGACAGTGCACGTGTATATACTATATATATTTACATGTATATATATATACATATACATATATATATATATATACATATACATATATATATATATATATATACATATATATATATAATCCTGACACAATTATAAATATATATAATATATCTATCAAATTATATTCTTTCCCACTTTTCCAAATATATATATATATATATATATATATATATATATATATATATTTCAACAAGATATTCTATCACACCTTTGACTTTACCACAAACAAATGGATTGTTTCCATTATATTTTCAGTCTCTAACATTTTCTACAATCCAAACAAAACAAAATGAGCAATTATTTACCAGCTGCAGTGCGGCAGGTAGGTAATATGATATTTTATCAATGTTCCAACTCGCAACGCCCTCTATGATACCCCCTAATTTCGGAACACGGATTGATCAAATCCGCGCACAAAACCAGGGAATATCAAAGCAATTAAAGTATTTCAAACAAGCACAGAGTACAAATGAAATAAAAATAAATAAATAATACGCTGAACAAAACTAATAAACAAAAATTTCCATTAATAACTCTGGAATGGTTACAACTCGGGAATCTCGTAACTCAAGGACCCCTTAACCAAAATCCACTATTCATAAATCCGTTACTAATTGCTGAAATAATAATATCCTACTTTGAAATAAAAGAGAAAGAATAGATAAGTCCTCCAGCTGCGGATCCTCAACCTTGAGACTTGAACTTCTAATAACTTAAAAAATAAATCGTGGGTTTAACTCTACGAGCAAGCTCTTTCTACCAGACCTCTGAAAACCAATAAATAGATCATCTCTACCAAAATCATCCCAAATAAAGCTTTAACTTTAATAAACGAGGCTACTAATACATATAACTACTTATATATAATACAATAATCCTATCTATTAATAAGTTCATTTAAAGTGTTAAAACCATTCACCAACGATTAATTATTAATTATTCCTAGACCAAATCCATCATTTATAATTTTCTTATAAAATAAACTCCACTTACCTTAATTCCATCCCAAATAGTAATTTAACCATTTAAGCAATAAATCACAATTAAAGGAATAATCCAAAATTTAAGCTTTGACAAATCATTCATATCTCCACCAATATTATTTATCAATATATATAAAATAATACATTGACATGTAACCACTAGATTATTATAATTTAAAAATATCTAATCTTAATCCAACTTATACATGCCGTATCCATAGATGAATTTTAATCATCTAATACACATAGCAATTTAATTATGTTATAACAATTTAACCATGCCATTATAAATATATTTATTTATATATTGACAATTCAACCATGCCTCCTCAAGTATATATTTATAATTTTAATTGGCAATTCATCCATATTTTCCATGTATGTATTTTATCCATACAAATAATAAGGCAATATATTTAAGCCTTTGGCAACTCATCCATGCCTACAATTCAACCATGTACCAACGTTAAACTTAATTAATGAGCTAAATCATACGTATACATCTTATGCATATAATAAGCATATCATTAATTAATAACCAACCTATCCAGATATACCAAGTAAGATTAATACAATTAATCATCTTATATGACATACATATACATATGCATATAATTAACATATCATTAATTAATAACCAACCTATCCAGATATACCAAGTAAAACTAATACAATTAATCATCTTAAATGACATACATTTACACATATATTATAAAATATACATGTGTCATAATATATATATATATATATATATATATATACATATACATATGTATATATATATAAATACTTCATTCCATCCTAATTGCAAGTTAAATAAACCATATATATATATATATATATATATATATATATATATTCATTTCCTTCCGTAATAAATCATTAATTTATTATATTTACACCAACTAAAGGCTACTAAATATTTTAGTAACACTCTATAATTTTTAGAAAAACAAGAACACCTCCTCTAAGGATTGATTTTGTAACGACCCTAACTGATGCCAAAATTTTTTTTAAAAAAAATCGGCATAACCTCCCCTAAAAATGGGCCTTCAACAACCTGTCCCAATACACAAAATACATAAAATCATCTAGCATCCCATTCATCCGTTCATTATATCTCAACATAGTTCCTCTCATGGTGGAACATCCACACACCAATTAATCTAAATAATCATAATTACAGTCCCAAAATACAAGATTAATATTTAAAATCCCTGTCTTACAACGTTACATGATACAATTGCATGGAAACATATACTATAATTCCATTAGTTTCATTTACATCAAACAAAAAATAAGTTCGTTCTTAAGTTACAAGGTCATGAATACTAACTTAGTTACATCCCCACAACTATGAATATACATAAAACGGTCAAAATACAAAATAGCAAACAACCTTCTAACAACTTTCAAGCTTGAGGTGGATTGTCGTCCACCGGTTCATTTTCAAGACCTGAAAAAAATAATATAAATAGTAGGGTGAGCAAATATACTCAGTAGGTGACGCTTAAGACACTTTTCTTGTGTCCCTGTGAATCCATACAAAGAATAGGCCAATAGGAAATGAGGATCATACAAATATCGGGAA